GCTTCCCAAGAAGAGCCTAAAGCTCTGATACCATGTGGAAAAACTAAGAAATAAATCAGTGTGGAAACTGAATGTATGTTGGAAAATTGCTTATTGAGAATTAAACAAGAATCTTAGGTTTATATACAACTAACTAGGGGTTAAACTAGGAAACTAAATCTTCCTAAAAAACTAATCCTATAATTGAGGGATTGTTTATCCTAAATTTAGGGATACAAATACTTAATTCTAGAGATACGGATATAAATATACAGATTACAATATTACAACCAGCTGTAAATAAGTGTTTTCCTACAATATCATACTTGCATAGCATAATGTTGATATATCTTTTCCAGCTTGTTAAGCTTTTTAGATGATTATCACTTGATTGCTGAAGTAGAAATTACTCTTTCCAGCCACCTTGCTGTTCACCCGATGGAGGTTCTTGTGGCTTAGGTGGAATCTGCAAAGACTGTACAACGGTTATGTCCCTGTCCTCTCTCTTCCTTGTGTGTCTGTGGGGTTAGGAGTTGCATATAAGTTAGAAATGTTTTACAGAAGTGTAAAAATGCTGTGTTCATACTATACATTTGAGTGGTTATTAAGGTTCCAGGTTTATTCCAACTATCAAACTAAAAAAATTGTGAGCACTAACAATTTTTAGTTGGTTCCAGTGCTTCCGCCACTCAGATTTAGTTAATGATCGCCCATCTACAGAGCAATTCAAAGACAAGCTTCCTTGGTTCCTTAATGCTTTGCCATCCGCTGATTGTGCCAAAGGTGGTCATGGGGCTTACACCAGCAGTGTGGATTTGAATGGTTTGTACATTGGAAATTTCCTCTGCATATTAAACGGTGTTTTATGGTGCTTGTATGGGATAATAAAAGGCGTGGCCTCTAATAGGTTAATAGGCATTTCATGCTTTCCTCTATACATCTTTTCAGGTTATGAGAGTGGTGTTATAAAAGCATCAGAGTTTCGTACTTACCACACACCACTTAACAGACAAGTAAGCCAATGTCTTTAGTTCACTGATCCCAATATGATTTTTTATTATTTTCTAATATGACTTTAGTTAATCACACCACTTCACCTGATTTCATCATTTTTCTCAGGGTGACTATGTTAATGCATTGCGAGCTGCAAGGGAGTTCAGCTTAAGAATTTCTGATTCTTTGAAGGTTTTAATTAACTATGCTCTTTTATCTTCAACTTTGGCTTCCTTGATCCTAGATATGCTTTAAAGTTCTCTCATGTCGAGTGGTAGGAATGCAAGTTTGCTTTTCATTTCAAGGTGCAAGAACACTTCTCTTATTGTGTTTGACTCATCTCTGTCCCTCTGTTGTTTATGCTGGACTGCTAGAGAGATGGTTTCAGCACATATAATGGTCTCCATTATTCAGACATGAACATTGCTTGGTCTCTAATGTTGAAATGCCATTACATGCTTAGGCCAGTTAAGCAAATTAGTTTTTGATATTTTGTATATTTTGGTGAAGTTTGTATTTGGAGTGTGAGTCATTCTTACTAGTGTTTCTGTCTTGTTCTACATGTAAATACCACTCGAGTTTATAAATTGTCTTTACGGGGAATGAAAATACACTAACCTGGTTAATGAGCTTTACGGAGAATGTGTCCAGAAAAAAAGGAAAAAAGGCACTAGGTGAATAATATGATCACAGTTCAATAAATATTCTTCCTCATGCTGCTGGTTATGTGCTTGACATTTTCGCCATCACTTCATGTTTTCTGAGTGCAATAATTTTTGCCTGATTCCAGTTCACTCTTTTTTTTCCCCTGACATTACTACTCTGGTGCAGATGCAAGTCTTCCCCTATTCAGTATTCTATATTTTCTTTGAGCAATATCTTGATATTTGGGGGATAGCTTTGATGAATATTGCTATAGCACTAGGTAGGTATTCCAATATGCTGTGTTGATCATTTTGCATCCTTCAAGCAAGTTGTATTTCAAACAACTGATTTTCTACTTTCTCTCTCTCATGAATATCATCTTTTACATCGGTATTCTTTGTAGAGAGCTGATTTTTTTTATCATTTGTGATATACTTTGGTCTTTAGTTTTGGATGCTATGTTTACCTGTTCTTTTGTTCCTTGTTCTTTTATTTCTTACTCTGTTTTCTCAAGCGGTATATGCTGACATGCATACTTAATGTGTTTATTGAATGAATCTCTATGTGAAAATGTATTCAGTACCTTATCTTAATTACAGGTGCCATTTTTATTGTCTGTCTGGTTATCACATCCAGGTTTAAATTCTTTCTCTGGTCCTTGTGTAGCCTTTTTGTTTGTTTTCTTAATCACTTTTCACCCCTTGTGTTTTGGACTTGTCTAACTTTAGTATGTTTTTCTTTTCTTTTCTGAACGCAGTTTGTGGATATCTGCCATCATTCTTCTGGTACTGGTGATGCTTGTTGTAGATCTCATGGTATGTCTTTTGCCTTGACATTTACATACAACGCTGTGTCTGCTTCTCACTACTTTTCTCTCTCCACCTTTTTATTAAAAATTTAATAAAGTTTCTGTAGCCTTTAACGTCTCATTTCTCTCAGCTATATTTTCCCCCAAGAGAAAGAAACTTAGTTTCTGTCTAATTTTGCAGGGTGTAATGGCAATTCTGGATATTCAACTCAATGCCGTGTCAGTTGTGAACCTTGTCATGTCAATTGGGATTGCTGTTGAATTCTGTGTCCATATAGCAAATGCTTTCTTGGTCAGTATTAAGCCTTTACTCAGTTTAGTCTGGGATGATTGGATAACAGGACTGGGTTGATTGTATCATACGTGGCTGTGGGAAATTTTGCATTCTTTCTCTTTAAGGTTTCTGTAGATTTACCTGTGTAACAGAGAAGAAGGAAACTTATACATTGCCTTTCTGCCCTCTGACCCCTCTTATCATTATTGTGTCGCTTAATCTCAAATTGAACACTTGTTCTCTTGGAACAAGCTGCTGAAATCGGGCAATTATTAAATTGGCCCATGAGTTGCACATTCTCTTGTTATCTTTAAAATTATTAATTTCAGAATTCTATGCTGTTCTTAAACAGGTCAGTAATGGGGATAGGGATCAAAGAATGAAGGAGGCTCTTGGTACCATTGGAGCATCCGTTTTCAGGTTGAGTGTTCTTCCATTGTCCCGATTTTGGTGTGGTATAATTGATAGAACGTGGAAGACTAGATAAACACTATATAAAAGCTAAATAAAGGATAATTTATTAATTTAACTGTTCTTTTAGGAACTGTTTTATTGAATTTTAGCTCTTACAAACATCTGAGGCACAATCCTAATTTATTTTACAAGTTTCTTCTATTTGTTTTTGTTTCTTTGGTGTTTGGGGAAGGGCGGGAGTTGGGGTGGGGGGTTTCAAGGGGATTATCTTAATCATAGTAAAAACTTCTTTCCCCCACCCACCACCTCTTTCTGCGATAAAAGGATCTAGAGATATCAGAAGAGCTTCTCTATTTCATCAGCTACTTGATTTCTTCATTCTCATTTATTTTTTTGGCCAATAGTTCATTTCAAGATATTAGTAGGATAACTTTTCGTTCTTTTCTGCACCTATTGTAATGCTTGACGAAATGCACCAGTTTGTTGGAGTTCACTTCCGGAAAGGAATTTATTGATTGTATTCATCTTTTGACTTTTTCTTTTGACAGTGGAATCACCCTCACGAAGCTTGTAGGAGTAATTGTGCTTTTCTTCTCAAGATCAGAACTTTTTGTGGTATCTGAGCATTCCCTGCTATCATCCAATTACTTTTTTCCTGGTTAAGGGAATATATACACAGCCTTTTTCTTTTTGCAGGTTTATTACTTTCAGATGTACTTAGCTTTGGTTCTTGTTGGTTTCTTGCACGGGCTTGTGTTTTTACCAGTAAGTTAACTGGAAACTTCTTATTCGCAATCTTCTTTGACTCAATTATCTTTGTTGGCTGTGTCAATCCACCAATTTCTAAGACTTGCTTTGGTTGTTACATTTGTTATTTGTTTTCTTCTAGTTGCTTTTTTTTTTATTCAAAAGTTGCTCTAAAGTGAATTCAAATTGTATCAAATCAAATCAAATAATACATGGCTGATCAATAACAATCCACAAAGATGTTTGCTTTTGTATTCAAACGTACTTTTTTGAAGTTGTAAAAATAACAACCAAAAGCTGATCGATGAACAATCCACAAACCAAAGGAACCTTCTGACATGCTTTACTATGATGTGGTTGTCCTAAGACTTTCAAATGAAAATTTCATAAAAACCATTACCGGACGACGTTGGTTTGTTGCATTTCATTCTTTATCTGCTTGTGCTTTAGCTACACAACTTATTGGTCAGTGATTATATATGTTGCTCATTTGATATGCAGGTTGTGCTGAGTTTGCTCGGTCCACCCGCAAGAAATATTACTTCGATACACTTGAATTGACTGAGGTGTTACCAGATCGCCTCTCCTTTCCGCAACTTTGTTAAAATCCTGCTTGTTTGTCCACCCCTAACCACAATGATGAGCACACGCACGTAAATTGCTTTGGATGGTGATGTGTGTTTCTTTACAATTATAACTCTCTAATTGTCATGGATATTTCTCTAAATCGGGGTGGGAGTCGGAGTTGAGGATCTTATATAAATAGAGATATGAAGCTTTGCAATTTAAAATCATGGGAGGGTGGTTGGGTTCTTGTAAAAATGACATATATTATAGTCATGATTATCTGTGAGTAGTTTAATGCTCTGATTCGTTTGAAATGAATCTAGTGTTTTGTTAAACTTTCTTTTATTAATGGCTAAGACCAACTTTTAGTACTTAATATTTGTATAAAATCAAATTTTAAGAACTAATCTTTCACATTTTACCAATTAAAAGTTTTCCAATGGAAGACTAGAAAGTGCATTTTTTAAGCGTTTCTCTTCTGTTTTGTTCTTTGAAATATTGTTTAGAAAAATCCATGAGAGACCACATCCTTTCGGCCTTGGCCCTTACGGAGGGAGAGTTATATTGTTGCTGAGCCCAATTTCTGTAATATGTTGAGCTAAACGTAGTTCTTATTTCCCAAGTCCAGAAACAGAAACAAAAGAATGCAGTAATCATAATTACATTTAAAAAGGTGTTTAGGGTATACTGGTTAAACCTTGTCAGAGAAGCCAGCTGGAGGCAGCGACGTCATCTAGCGATCCGCGAGGTTGGAGTTACGTTGTCGGTTTCACACTTTGTTTAGCTTAGCAATCAGCACTTGATCGTAAAGGTCATCAAAGTCCAGAGACAAGCAAACACCAGAACACTGGACTGTTACATGGGAACAGCAAAGCTCACACAAGCACTTCTCAAAAACACAAAAAATCCAAAGCTAGCATGGCAACTCTTCAAGCGCATTCAATCATCACCCACTAATCCTTCCCTTCTTCCTTCAGTACCCACCATTGGCCGTATCCTTCTTCGTTCCAAAATGCTGCCAGAAATTGACCATCTTCACCTCCTTCTCTTATCCTCACAACCTCAACAAAATTCTCTTGCTTCGCTTATTTCCCTTGTCAAACTCTTAGCTAAATCAGGTTTCTTTGATAAAGCTTTTTCCCAGTTCCAGTCCATTAGAACAAAATTCCCACAATACACACCTTCTATTTGTCTGTACAATGCCCTCTTTGAATATTGTATCAAAGAAAGACGTTCAGATTGTGTGCTTTGGTTGTATAAAGATATGGTAATTGCCGGTGTTTCTCCACAGACGTATACTTTTAATCTTTTAATTTGTGGGCTATGTGATTTAGGTTATTTGGAGGACGCCAGAAAGTTGTTTGATAAAATGTCTGACAAAGGTTGCGTGCCGAATGAATTTAGTTTTGGTATTTTGGTTCGTGGGTATTGTAGATTTGGCCTTGCTAATAAAGGGTTGGAGCTTTTAGATGAGATGAGGAGATTCGGGTTTTTGCCAAATAGAGTTGTGTATAATACTTTGATTTCGAGCTTTTGTAAGGAAGGTAAAACTGATGATGCGGAAAAATTAGTAGAAAGAATGAGATGGGATGGTTTGTTTCCAGATGTCGTGACATTCAATTCTAGAATTTCGGGCCTTTGTAGAGCAGGTAACATTCTTGAAGCATCAAGGATTTTTAGGGATATGCAAATAGATGAAGAATTGGGGCTTCCTCGGCCGAATGCTATAACCTATAATCTAATGCTTGAGGGGTTTTGTAAGCAAGGGATGCTGGAGGAAGCAAAGACCTTGGTTGATTCCATGGAAAAAAATGGTGATTGGATGAATTTAGAGAGTTATAATATTTGGTTGTTGGGGTTGCTAAGGAATGGAAAGTTAATTGAGGCTCAATTAGTACTTAAAGACATGGTTAATAAGGGTGTGGAACCCAATATTTACTCATATAACATTGTGATGGATGGGCTATGCAGGAATGGGATGCTTTCTGATGCAAGAATAGTGATGGGTTTTATTCTAAGGAGTGGTCTTTCTCCTGATACAGTAACTTATAGCACTTTACTGCATGGTTACTGTCGTAAAGGCAAGTTATATGAAGCTAATGATGTTCTACATGAGATGATGAGATATGGTTGTTTACCTAATACTTATACGTGCAATATTTTGCTGCATAGCCTATGGAAAGAGGGTAAAATATCAGAGGCAGAACAGTTATTGCAAATGATGAACGAAAAAGGATATGATGTGGATGCTGTGACCTGCAATGTTGTAATTGATGGTTTGTGCAAAAGTGGGAAATTGGAAAAAGCTATGGAAATTGCAAATGAGATGTGGACACAAGGAGGTGCTGCTGTAGGTAACCTAGGAAACTCATTTATTGGCCTAGTTGATGATGTTGGCAGCAGCAAGAGATGTCTTCCTGACTTAGTTACATATTCAATCATAATTAGTGCTCTATGCAAGGCTGGAAGGATAGATGAAGCTAAAAAGAAATTCAAAGAGATGCTGGGTAAAAGCTTGCAACCTGATTCAGTTATTTTTGATACTTTCATCCATATTTTCTGTAAAGAAGGAAAGATATCATCTGCATTTCGAGTTCTCAAGGACATGGAGAAAAAAGGATGCAATAAGAGCCTACAAACTTATAATTCACTGATACTTGGCTTAGGAAGTAAAAATCAAATATTTGAAATTTATGGACTTGTGGATGAGATGAGAGAAAGAGGGATTACTCCTAATGTTTGCACATACAATAATATTATTCAGTCGCTTTGCAAAAATGGGAAAATCCAAGACACCACTTCAATCTTGGATGAAATGCTGCAAATGGGTATAAACCCTAATATTTCTTCCTTCAGGATATTAATAGAAGCTTTCTGCAAGGCATGTGATTTTGGAGTAGCGAAGGAGTTATTTGAGATTGCTCTTAGTATATGTGGCCACAAGGAAGCCTTTTATAGTTTAATGTTCAATGAGTTGCTTGTTGGAGAGCAAGTCTCAGAAGCTAAAGTGGTTTTTGAAGCTGCGTTAGATAGATCTTTTCATCTGGGTGGCTTCCTTTATAAGGATCTCATTGAAAAACTTTGTAAAGATGGAAAGTTAGAGGAAGCTAGTGGTATTTTACAAAAGTTGATCATAAAAGGATATAAATTTGATCCTGCATCATTCATGCCGGTGGTTGATGGCTTGGGTAAAAGAGGAAACAAGCATGAGGCTGATGACCTTGCAAAGAAGATGTTGGAGATGGCTTCAGATGGTAGAGTGGCAAATAAGATATATCGAAGTGTAAGGGAATCAATCGATAGGAAAGAAACAAAGTATGGTGGAGACGACTGGCAAAGAATAGTGCACAGGTATGGCTGTTGTAGGAATTCTATCTTTGTGTCATTTCTTCTCTGGCTTCGTTGGTCTTTGGAATGTTTGGTGATAATTTCCAAATATAGATAGCAGTGAACTATAGTCTTTCATAAGAAAAAGAAAAATTATAGAGAACTCATTTTCTAATAAAATCATATATATAATGCCATGGTTTAAGTTTTAGCATGATCTGGTTCTGAAGCAGTCATCAAGATATTTGCTTTTGTAACTTTTACCACAGCTTTTATGTATTCTGATATTGGAGTATTCAGCTGCCAGAAAAACTGGTCTTGTCCTGCACTCCAATATTATACTTTTATAATAGTCTTCACTAATCCATCATATCCTTTCATTTTTTTTATCAGTGCCGTCTATCTCTGTATATCATCCTTGACATAGCTTCTATTTACTATTCTTCTGCAGAGATGATGGCAGTGGAATCGCTTTGAAAGCTCTTAAGCGAGTACAGAAAGGCTGGGGTCAGGGAAGTTTATCAAGTTTGCAGCCCCAGAAAACTGAGTTTCTTGATTACTGGTGAAGCTGGTGGTTTACTGGGGAAGGTTTGCCATTTTATAAGAGAGATTTTATAATGCATGACTACATTGGATAAGATTTCAGACATCTCCGTTTGGCAACTGATGTAGGGATCTGTACAGTGTACTACAAAAAAAAAAAAAGAAGTGAACCTATTATTAGTATGTGATTAGTGCCTAAAACAGAAATTCAAAGTAACCCTGTAAGGATATTGTAAAATAAATGAGAAATCTCAGTGTCATTGTAGTTTTACTCATCTTAATTTTTCAACAACGTAGAAGCACATTGCAAGACAAATGTGTAATGGATGCTCAGTTCAGTTCATCGTTACCCTGCCCAGGCGAATTCATTTGCAACCCTCACCACTGCCCAAATCTTGCCTACCCGACCTCAACCCCAACTTTTCATTTGGACGTAAAGTAATTATATGCATTAACATGTATATATTTGAATGTTCGGGAAACCTGTAAATCCATGCATTTCCTCATAAACAAGCTTGTTGAGACAAGAAAGACAACAATCTGCCACATTTTTATTATTTATCCATTGAATCAAGCAACTATAATTAAGCAGTTTCACACTGAAATACAAACATAGGATACCATATCATCAAAGGTCTATTCTCAATCCTCTCAACGTCATTGCATATTGACCTCCAGCCAACTTGCTTACTTCTTAATTGTTTGTTACACATATGGAAATAAATCTTATGATCCTACAAAACCTCTACTACAACCATCAAATTACTTGCACCAGAATCCAAAAATACTCTCCTGGAACTGATCCAGGTGTTATAATGGGGCACTGCTACAGAATGAACTTCCTAGATTCGGATGAGAAGCTTGATGAAGGGAGATTTTAATTGTGTGGCTTTGAGATGATTTGTATATGTCTATACACTCCTCAAGGTCAGCATTACATGTCAAAAGAACCCACTCATTGTCGTCGTCCAAGTACTGGAGATCAATTCTGCTGACATCTTCAATATTGAAACGCTTTGCAATCTCTTGTTGCAAGTCTTTGAAACTCCAACTTGGTTGCAAGCTGAATCGTATCTTACCTTCGCCAAACATAGCTTTTACTCTCAAGGCACCCACGGCTCGTAAATTCTGGTCTACACATTTTGGCAAGGGAGGTAGAGTCCCAAAACTAGGAAGCTCACCAAATGTTTTATGGCTTTGTGCTCTTGCAGTAAGCTTTGGCTCCTCTTGATTCAAAGCGTGCAATTCAGCATAACTGAGAGCTCTCTTTGGTGCTCCATCAGGGTCTTCCACTGTCAACTCATCTGCACCGCATAGGGCATTCATACTGGTATTATGCTGTTTCGATCCAGTGGAACAGGAGGTACTTGAACAAGAGCTCGGGCTGCATGAAGAAGATGGAGACTTTGAAGCAGCAGCTCCTTGGCTGAACATGCCTCTCTCAAGTTGAGGTTCTGATGGCTTTGAATGGCTGCTGATCTTCAATGATGAAGAAAGACCATTGCCAGAAAAGTTTGGTGAGCTCAGTTCAGGGAAGCTTGAGTAGAACGACCCAAGTTGAATGGCACCCTCAGCACCTTTGACTGAGTCAATTACTAGTTGCAGTTTTTTTAAAGAGTGGCCTACCTTCTTAATTTTTCGAGAAGGCCATCTAGTGATCCCGTGTTGCCTACATATCCTTTTCAGAGTAGTGGGGCACACTGCAATAGAATAAACTGGATAAGCAACTCTCAAAGAGCTGAGTACTTTATAAATGTAAAAAGACAAATGGAACAAAATGCTAATGCATGGATGCCAAGGACATTTATACTATCACTCCAAAATGAGGTATGGTGACAGAAATGTCACGGTAAGAATGTAAAGGGAGAAACCAGGCTGAAAAGATCATACAAGGCATAGCGCCTGCCTTTGTTTTCCCATCAGTTGAACCATTCCATAAATATAACTTCCTTCCCACCCAGATCAGAAGGGTTATTAGAGAAAAATGCTATATGCTATCATTATGGACACTTACTATGGACAATTAACTTTTCAGTGCATCAATATGAACTTGGGTGCCTAAACTCATATACCAGGCTAAATCAATCTCTATCTTCAAAAGATGCACAACTGCTGCCGTTCACTAACAACAGATTGCAGAGAAGAAACAGGATATTGGACAGATGGAGTCCTTATGCTTAAAATGTGATTATATGATTATTTGAAAAATTAGTATTAGTTACTTTGATTGTTAAGTAATATTTAGTTGAACATAAAGTGAAACAAGAATGTGAGGCTTCTAACTATAATAAGATATTTTCCTACCACCGATACTCTTAGCAGCATCTTTAAGACTCCCTGCAAAGTACTGTCGAAGAACCTGCAAGCTGATTGTCTTCTCCATCTTGGTTCTTCTCTTTTCACCAGCTTTTTTACCAGCTAAAATGCGATGTCCACCAGAAGGAGAGGAGTCACCACTACCTCCCTCAACACTAGCTTTGGTTCCAGCATTTTGATGAAGCTGTCCAAAATCTGAAAGTACCTGCTTATTGTATAACTCTAGCTGAGTGTCTTCCCAATGGGTTGTCACCTTGAACTCTTCTATTGGTTCTTCTTTTTGATATTCCCATGAGACAGAAACACCTTTTCCCTTCTGTTGGGCCTCCATCATGTGGGCAATCCATGATGACTCCTCTGGAGAGTTCTCTTTCGAGGAAGAAATCCTAAATTGAGTTTCTTCTTTGTCTGATCTCTCTGATTTCCCATCCGAAGTAACTACCATTTCCTTAACTGGCAGTATCACTTCTTCCTCAAGCTCCTTGTCCACAACGACATAAAAGCTCTGGCAAGCCCGCTGCATAAAACTGGACAATGAGTTCAGCATCTGTTTTTGTGCTTCACTGTCCTGGCAATCTTTTGGCAAGAATAACTCCAAAACCAATTCAACTGATCCAGTAAAAGTGCTTTGTAGCGGGATAGCTACAGCACCACGCAATCCAAACATCCTAGCATAGTGAGAGAGAGGATAATTTCTCTTACTGAACGCAGTTATATCATTTGCAAAACATTGTTTGTTTGTTGTGAATGCTCTGCCAACTATTCCTTGGCCTCTTAACAGGTGGTGTTCAGAGCATGCCTCAAGGAAGTCTGAAAAATCTTCATCAGCCACAAAGCAAGCAGTATCCACTACACAATGATAAAAGTTCTCGTCAGAGAGTCGGCATCCACTGTTAAATTGATCAAGGCATTGGGCCCATGTTAGAGCCAAAGGCAGTTTATATATCTTGCAGACAGATCTTAAAACCTCAGCTATCTCAGGCAATGCAGCTTGATATAACTCGTTGCAAGCCTGTGAACATAGAACACTTCTTAGGTCTCAGAAATGAATAATAAAATTTTGAACTGTTGAAACTATAGTTTTAAAGATAGCATTCTTTTACCTCAACACAAGGAATGAAGTTATATGAGCTCCTTAGATCAACAGCCTGCAAACAGATACGCTTTATTTAGATCAGAACACAAGGAAAGAACGTGCTATTATAGTTCACAGGTAAGACATGACTAATATTATAAACAAATACATGTCCATTGGCACTTTTGAAAGGCTTTATTTATTTATTTATTTAAAATTTTCATTTCTAAAAATGAAAAGTCAATTACTAAATAAGGCATAAAACAAAGTTATAATTATTAAATTGAAGAAAGATGAAAAACTGAAGATAGTTGGTGCATTAAAATACAGAAAATCAGTAACAGAAAGGACTAAGTATAATTGCCATCAGTATAACACATCACATACAGGAAGCATTATAGAATGAGAAAAATGCATATTCAGATGCAATATGAGTTTAGAGAACTTTTATTGATAAAAACATGTCCTAAAATTCAATATACAGACTGCATACATTGTAATTAGTTATTACAATGTTAAAATGAACTCATGAGGTTTGTTCCAATTGTTTCCTTTTCATCCTAACTTTCAACCACCAAAAGTTAATACCATGACCTTAATACCTCTGAAGCAGTTTATCAGAATTTCTGATGATAAACAAAGAAGAACAAGAAGAAGCAAAAGAATAGAGACCTCAAGAGCTTTGCAGACGTGTTCAAGTTCTGAGCGATAATTGATCTTTTGAGTAGTTGTGACAATCTCAACAACGCCCAAGCAAGTTCCACTCGCTCGTTCAAAAACAGGAAGAGCAAGAGATCCACCAACATTGTACTTTTGTGCAAAATCAATACGTGGATATTCATCGCTTCTGAAGAAACGAACATCAGGCGTCCACTCAGGCAACTTCCCCAAAAATACACGGCCAAGCAACCCCACTGATTCCTTTGAATCCTCCTCAGCTGGAACGTTGTAAGATTTGGAGACATCTCTAAAAAATTTGAGACTCTCGCAATTTGTATTAAGAAAGTACGGCTGGCCTTCAGTAGTAAGAAAATGTTTGCCTTCTCTTTGTACAGGCACCCAGATTTGGATAAGGACATCCATGTCTTTTGTAGATTCCTTCAAATATCCAATAGCCTGCATTAGTCTCTCTTTCACAGATAAAGAAGAATTTGATTCCGCTCTTGGCCCTATCCACCATCTACTGCCCAATTCAGTGCCTTGGACTATAACATTTCCAGGTTGTGACAAGGATGTAGTATTTCCAACAGCTGCCCAGTTTGGGGATTGACTTTCAGAAAGGTCCTCAATTGTAGTATAAGGAGGGGAAGGAACCTGGCTTTCTGTCTCTCCTTGATACATTCGATGTGAGTTTATACTAAAAGGAACAGTATAAGATCCAGATACAGGTATGCATTGAAAAGGGTCAGGGTCATTCAGACCACTAGATGTTGAAGGACCAGGCTGCATGAGGTTGAATCCATCGCTAGTCTCTAATCGGCATCCTTCAAACAAGAGTTGATCCATAAAATCCAAATCCATAGCAGCATCAGAGAAGTTCCCGAACGTAGAATTAGGCGAAAATTCACCAAGACCACTGCCAACTTCCATGTCGAAGAGGCTTCAAATTTGCTTCTACCAGAGCCTATATTACGTCCGAATTGCAAACACTATCATGACCCGAAACACAAAAGCACAGTAAAGATGAAAAACAAAAAGAGGAACTTCCAGGAAAGATTCATTTTGCCCGTATCCAAAAACCCAATCTGTCCGAGGCGCAGAAACATCGTCAACAAAAATTTGCTTTGATTGAACTGCAATCAGAAATGCATTTCAGAGGAAGAAACCTACCATGGTATCCATAGTTCAACTCATAGAACAAAAAAACAAACCTACCACTATAAAAATATAGTCTTTCAATAGTACTTGTACTTTTAAACAACTCAAATTTTAGTTTACTCTAAAACATGATTCCCACAAGTCCAACATCAGCTTTCCCCATACAATAATCACAAGCATCTACCTTGGAATTTGTACCATCAATAATTCTAAATGCCCTCTCAAACAAACACAAATTAAAACTCCACAAAAAGAACAAAACCCCATTTCTTAAAACTCTCTGTTGCATAAAAATTCCAAACCTTACTATTAATAGAAAGCCAAAAAAAGCTTACAAAGAAGTAAAAAAAGGAAGAGAAAGAAAGCGACTCACTTTACAAGGAATCTTCGAGAAAATCCAGTTTGGTACTTTGGGTTTCTCTGTCTGTGTACCGTAGACTTTAATTGAAGCAATCTAAATCTAACAAAGATGTGGCTCTGTTGAATGAATGTCCCCTTTGTTTTCTTGCAAGACCCCAACCACATTAAGGCAAAAAAAAAAGAAGAAAATAAAGTACAAAAACAATTTGCAACACTGATTTTATCACATCAGTTTTTGTTGGTCCCTTTGGTATGGTGTTTTTGTAACCTATATATAATCTCAGGCTATGCGCGTGAACAATCTTCTCTCTATGGAAGGCTTAGGACCCCACATCAACAGCAAATCAGATCTCTCAGTTCTCAGATCTTTATACTACATACCATAAAGGTCAAGTGTTGTAAAGGTAACCGTACAAAACATGAGACAAATAAAGAGGACAAAACAAAATAAAATAAAACAAAATCTGGGTTTTGTGTTTATTTTTTTCTAGAGCTTCTTAAGACTTCAGTTTGATGAAACAGGGCTGAAGCTGAAGCAACAGTTTGAATGTTTCTTTTTTTTTCTTCTCTCTGAAATTGTGGGTTTGGTTGGTTGTCTTTTACCTTGAGCCTGCGCTGATTCTCCGCATTTTATTTTATATTGGTTTGAACTATTTTGCTTTTAATTTAATAAAAGAAAGTTGTTTCTTTCTGATTTTATTTTATTTTATTTTTGTATTATTATATTATTATTATATAGTAGGTTCCGTGAAAGAGATTCTTGATCGGACATGGTTTATTGAAGCAATCATTCACTGGATTCAAGATTCCTGGACAGCCACATATGCTGAGTTTGTTTTGACCTTTGATAATGGCTCGGTTTCTGCAAAGTATTTCATTTTTTTCCATAATTAGTAAAATGGGGCTCACCCAGTGAGTTATTGATCCATTGAGACTTGACCCAGGTCAGATATTTCCTTAAGGACTATGAATTAGAATGAAAAAAAAAAATCTCACTTCATGGATGAATTAACTGGAGGAGGAGAAATGTCAAATTTATATGAAAATTTTAATTCGATTGATTTATATATTTATTTTTTAAAAATAACATTTAATTAATTTAAATTTTAATATTTATAATTTTTTTAATTTTTAAACTGCATCTTTTTATATAAAAAAAATGTTTAATTTAAGTTTTTTGTTGATATTTGAAATTAAAATTTTGTTTAAGAAATATTAATTTGTTTAGATTAATGTTATAAATGAACTTTTAAATTTCTGAAAAATATTTAATATAAAAAAATGAAAAGAAAGAGATTTCTTGGTTGCAGCAACTTAAAATGTTTGGAAAATATATATATATATGTTCTGTCATGTTAGATGTGACATGCATTTAACTGTTTACAGTGCTAATAATTCTATTCTATACAATAAATTTTGACATTGCATATCTCAACATAAGATTGATGGCAGATTTTGAGTGGACAATTCAAATTTTGATAGCAAAATCTTATGTAAATCTTAAAAATATGTTTTTTTTTATTATTATTATAGTGTTGATGGTGATACAGGGTTAATTACTTAATTTCATGAACATTCATTAAGTTATAGTAACATACTTAAATTTAAAAAATTTTAATATGATATTTAAATTATAAATATATAATTAATGTAATATTTATTTTTAACATGATTGATTACAAATAATGATATATAATATATAAATAATTTTATAAATATTATTTTAGTTAACATATATATAATTTAAGTATTATATTAAAATTTTTTAAAATTAAAATATTATATTAAATATTTTATTATAATTAAAAAATCATTTATAATATTAATCCACTTATGAAAAATGAAAATTTTAAAATGACTTAATCTTTGGTCATTCACCACACAAAACATTTCACAATCATTCATGAAATTTACTTGTCTTGCACGAATGAAATTGAATTAAAAAGTTACTACGAAAATGCTCAAATTGGTTATGTCAAACATTTACACAAAACCAATAAAACTTAAGTAATAATAGAATAATATTATGCCACAACTTGCTGCCCATAATTCCAAATCGGGCAGTTGCGTGGAGAAATTTGTTCCAAAACATTGCAAGTGGCACTCAAGATTTCGGGCCGCCATGACCGGTCCTCTTTTGTCCTGCTTTGCTCGAGTTGCCGCATCCAAGCAATGTATTGGCCAAAGGATTAATTTATTATTATTAATTAATATAATAATTAATGTTTAATTAAGCACATTAATTATGTCCATGATTCAGATGTGGAGTCATGACTTTGTGATTCCAATTTCTTTTAGCAGAAAAAAAGTGCATCCTTTAAATCTGATTGCTTGAGCAAACCAGGCATGCCCTACCTATGTTTTGTTTTCAGGAAACAGTAACAATTTTACCCACAAAAACAATTTATTATGCAAACTAAGAAATTTTTATTAAGCTGAAATGTACACTTTAATCAGCCCCACTAATTGATGACTTCAGCGTCAAGTCAACATCGAGTGGTTTTCCAACTTGGGTTGCCTGCCCCAGTAACCCCCTCCCCACTTCGTTTATTTGTATTAAGTAATCAGAGTTTTCGATGAACCGTATATTATCATATTTAATTTTTATTTATTTATATTTATTTATTAAGTTTAATAAATAATTTTAATATTATTTATATATTTATTTATTAAATAAATTCAGCATGAATAATTATTTATTTATTTATTTATATTTATAAACATATTCGTTTACGATTCGTTTAAAATTTATTCGTTTATTGTTCATTTACTATTCGTTTATAATAATATTAATAAAATTACATTTTTATCTTTTATCTTAATTCTATTTTAAGATTATTTATATTTGTTTAAGTTTATTTATATTTTTTTAAGGTTTGTTTATTTAAATTTATTTAGTTATGATTTATTTATTATTCATAAATGTATTTATTTATATATGTTCGTAAATAAATTTGTTTAATATTCACGAACGAACTCGTTTAACTTAATTGAATGAATACAAATCGAACACGAACAACTTATTATTTAATCAAACGAATATGAATAAATATAGAACAATTTTTTTTAAACAGAATACCAATACTTTTAAAAAATAAACGAACAAATATAAAAATATATTTATTCATTCATATTCGATTGATTTACAATCCTATTTACATTGATGATAATAATTAATATTCTAACAATCAATCATATATCTATATCTATATATATTTTTCATATATTTGATTTACAAATCAAAATTAAAATTTTAATAATCCAAAATTTATTAACAAATGCTTATATACATATATAGACCCAACAATTAATCTATTTCTCTAATTTTCTCAATATAGATACATGTAAGGTTAATTTCTTCTTTTTTTTTTCCCGATGGATGAGATTGGAGAATTATTAATTGCGCAACAACAATAATTTGCTTCCTCGAGAGGCGTATGATTTATTGATTTGTGAGGTTTCAAATCAGGAAACTGTGGTCGTGACAATTTAATTTATTAAATATGGCATATATTAATATGAAATTAAGCTAGTGCATCATGTATTATTATACATGAAAATGATGTTTATATTTTTAATGACTTTGATTAGTCATCGAAAGTGAAATAAAATGTTAATTATCAACAGCCAACCTATGACTGCATCTCAAAGTTCAAATTTGCCGATCACTCAACTCACTAAAATCTGCCTTTGGGTTTCCTTTTTCACCCATAATTTATGTCAGTTGATGTGATGTAAAGCTTTGAAATTAGGATTGAAATACACAAAAATCAATTAATGTGGCGACCAGTAAATCTATAACAATACTAATTAAAAGGATTTGCTTTACGTGCTTCCACACAATTGTCTTATAAAAGCGAAATTATTGTGTGTTATTGTATGGTTCAATGATGGATTTGTTGAGGCTGACCGCATCCACTTGTTTCCTCCATTTCCATCCCCACCAATGGCTTTTTCCTCTCTGACATCAGGCTTCTTGTCAGAGTTTTTAGTTTTGTTAATCAAATACAAGTGGGTAATCTTATTATATGTTTCTATGGTGTGTTGCCCTTTTTCTCTTGCAAAAATTCTCTAGTTTTCTTTTCTTCCTTTAATTATAGTACTGTTAATTCCCTACTGTTTGTATGTATTGAATTTTGACACAAGTGGAAAATGTTTGGTTAATAGCATTTTTACAGCTGATTGGATCATATTCATATTCATAGATGACAAAACCCAGCAAACTACTATATATATGTACAATATTGTTTATACATCTCTTATTATTTGATTACTTGAAAATCGTATAAAATCTATATTCAGGCTGTTGATTTTGATAGAATTCGTCACCTGCACATCTAATTCTGTCTATAATAATGATGGCAATGTATAGAATAACGTGATACCAGGGACCTACGTTTCTTGTATTAACCCAGGTGAGGATCTTAAAAATAGTTGTGGAAGAAAGATGATTCATATATGGGGCTAAGACTACTCAGAAATATCTGTTTCGTTTTTTTTGTCAGTTGCAAACACAACTCTAGTTAAGGAGCTAGAGTTTAGGCTCAGCTTTGGGAATCATTGATTCTAACTACTTAAGCTCCATTTGATGGTGGGATTTTGATGTTATTTTATGGCTACACCTTTAAGAATTCAATCATAAAATGTAGCAGTGACGCCTCTTATCACGCTGTCAAAAGGAGTCTTAATCTCTAACACAAAGATGCAACTATCAGAAGAAAAAAAGAATAATTTAGGATAGATTCCAGTAAGTGATTGCGTGAGGTATCGGCAATTCATAAGTCAACTCTCTTATTTCGATGAGTAGCTATGTTGGAAAAAAAATTACTTATTTTGGCCTGTGGTTTGCACGGGCCAATAGAATCAATGCAGATACTAGAAGGGATTCACTGTGGGTATCCCTCAACACATTTTTTTCTTTATAGTTGTAATGGAGATTCTTCTGCTTAAATATAAGGGAAATATAATTTAATAACTTTTTATTGTTGATGGTGATGAAACACCTATGAGTATTATTAAGGTAGATAAATGTGATGTGGATTTGAGTTGGAGATGAGGAATCCATCAGAATTGTTTAAAGCTTCGCAAATATACATCAGATGAGCCAAAGTCATGGCAGTTGTTGGATGATTGGTTAGATGGAGGCAGAAATTTTCAAAGTTTTTAAGTTCTTAATAATTTCTTTCTTTCTTTCTACATAATGAACGTTTCAAGTGCGTAACACATCAGAATTTTGGTCAGATATGAATATACACTCTTGAATATAAAGATGAGAAGATTAAAAGGGTGGAGCCTGGCACGCCTGATCAAAACAGGGAGTTAAAATAGCAATTAATTTTAGATTGAATCATGCCTTTAGATGCGTGTGTTAATTTGGTTTAAACGTTGGATATTTGGCATTATGCAAGGCCAGACCATAGTAGATGCCTAACAATTTCCTGTCAGCAGGACCACACATGCAGTACTGATTGGATCAAGGAAAGATACCAGGAGGATGCATAATTGGATTCAAATTTTTTTTACAAGGTGGGAATCAGACGAGAATCATTGACTTCAACTTATGCAAAACAGATTAACAATTACAGAGGATTAGATTATCAATGATGCCAGGGTGAGCTAGGATGGAAGGGCTGTGATATATGATGCAGTTCGATGGAACCCAGAATTACATAGGTATTTGCTACAGATTTGATTAAAGAAAACTTTTGGTGCTTCATGAATAACTTGCACTTGAAGAAAGAATCTGTCTTTCTTCTGGTTACAGATATTCCTCACCATGGAAATGGTAAAGCTTGATGTAATGCAATCCAGTTAATCAACCCTGCTATAAATTATATAAAATGGGCAAAGTCATGGTTAATAGAAAACGATGAGTGGTGGATGCTAGCATCAGCAGCATGCGTCTATAACAGAGAAGAAAATGAAACATTTCTAGGTGGGGCAAGGCTGGGACCCAATAAAATATATAGTACTAATACATTTCTATTCATAATAATTCACCAAACCCGCAAATTAATAACAAATTTATATATGCAGAAAAAAGTGCAAGCATTTCTTAAAGTAATTAAAAAGAGCCGCCCACATTATAAAAAAGGAATGATTATACAATTTGGGTTATGTAATGATGGACAGGGCAAATTCCACTTTACAAACTACTGAGAAAAATTACTTTTATATAATACAAAAACACTGATGCTATTGATGTTAATAGCCCCGTAATTTATTGATAACTTTTAATTTTCGTGATCAAATTTAAATTTTAGTAATGTTAAGTGTGTGTATATATATATATATATATATATATATATTAAAAAAAGTAATGCTGTTATGACTGATACATGATCTTAATTTCCCTCTTTAATATTCTTCTTCCACTTTAGAAACAAAATAGAAGGATTTGCAGCAGCTTTAGATATCACCTTAAAGATTCATTTGTCATGCAAATATAAATAACTGTTTCCAGTGATTGATTTTATGCCTCCATATCCAATATACAAAACCAGCTTTTTGCTTAGACAAAACTTACTGAAGCTTTTGATTCAAGAGGAATAAGCATGGTGGTCCAATATTCTACTCTCTTCTTCAGACAATGAACAAGAACAGTCAGGGAATAAGAAGTTTATCAGTGCACTTTAATGTCCATATTCTATATAATTGTTTCAATATTATGTTCATAATTTTAATTTGGTATCAAAGCTGGAAATGTGGTCCTCAACACTACTTTAATTTTAAACTCTAATAAGACAGATCATAATGGAATATAAAGAACGATATGAATATCTCTACTTTCTGGATTGTAAATCTATATCCACCACAAGAATTTTCCTGACAGATTCGCAAATGTCACTTTGTCTTAAAGACGAATTGCCGCATATAATGATCAGAGTCATGATGTGGTGAAGAAAATAAGGAAAGATAAATGACTGGACCACGTTTCCACAGGTTCTAATCATTGAGAGGGATCAAATTTCCCTGTACCATTATCATACAAGACCACATTGCTAAGGACTTATTGGGCTACATTATCATGGCGCTCTTAGTTTGTAGCCCTAGTACACTGTCATATACTCATATATATGCCCCTCAAGAACATAGATTGAAAAAAATTGACACATATATCTAATACTGTTTGCGGAATCTAAAAATTTTATTAACGTTCTCTTTTTTATACTAAAAAACATAACTTTTTGAAGGTTAAAACGCCGATCTTAAGTTGCCTCTTGTTGAATTTTAATTTTGAAAAATTATCATTACCTATCATTGTGTTTAAATGGCTCATGATCTGGTGTTTTTAGGAGTTCATGTATGTCCATATTGTTAGTTGTTGGTGTTTAGGATTCCTAGGATGAATAACTATGGTATTATTAAGTGCATGTACTTGATCGATGTATCTAAGCCTCTATATAATAAACCATCAAAACACTCTAATTCAAGTGAAAAGGCCTTATCCATGTTGGAACAGGAATCACTATTAAATGTCATCAGTCCAAATCGACTACACTACTGGAGAAGGCTTCAATGAAGCATGAGGATATGCTTGCTCTAAAAATAAGTTGTGTACATTAACATGCTCCATTGAAGCCTTTTTCAGTTTTGATTTAGGTCTGATTACTCGTTAAAAAAGAACATTTTCTAAGAGCTCCTCTGAACTCAGGTTGTACAATATTGGACCAACCAAAGCAAAGGGAGTGTTCGGAGGATTAAAAAACTATTATTTACTCAATCATTCAATTTGATGAAGTAAAGAATTAAACAAATAAAATTGAAGTTAATGTTATTGAACATTTTAATTTGGATAAAATAAATACACTGTCAAATATCCGGTATACAGAATAATTCTAATCCTAGGTTACAAGTCACGTACAACTTTAGCAGAGATGCCTGATAAAAGAACTCAAGCTTTCTTTAGAGACCTAACCTCAAATCCAAAGCTAGGCCTGAAGAAAAAGAAGATGAATCATTTTCAACAGGAGCAGGCAAATTCAGGTCCAAACCGCAATCTTCCCTTGCTGCTACAAGGTCGAGTCCTTGGTTCAGTGATGTCTCATCCCCTTTCTCCCAATGGCACCTCTTATGCCCACCTAAGGCTTGACCACTAGAGAACACCCTCAAGCAAATGCTGCACGTATGCCCCAAAACCATCATCAACTTACTATTATCTTCCACATTTACATTAACCAAGCCATTATGATCGACGCACTGATCCTCAACCTCGTAGCCATCACTTCTTGTTATGGCGAAACAGCCCTTCACATTCTTGTGACTAGCCCTGTGGCCCCCCAATGCTTGGTGTGACCCAAAAACCTTCTTGCAACTTGAGCATTCAAACCGGAAATTTGCACCCAAATTTGCGCCAAAATCATCATTGTCTTGAACCCCAGGTTTATAATTTATACCACATTCGCTCTCACTAGCAATAGCACCATTAGCCAGCATCAGTAAGGACGCTGCAATCTCATTCTCCTCCTCAGTCATCAAGGCCTCGACATTATTCGTCTGCTTAACAGGGGAAACAGGACGGCGATAATTAGGAGGAGGGTTAATTCCACGCCACTGTCGTTCAGGGTGACATCGCATGTGTCCGAAAAGTGCTTTCCACGACCAAAACTTCTTCCCACATTCACTACAAGGCCGCGTAATCTTTGGTGCAGCAGGGTCAGGTTTTCTGGTATATTTAGGCCTGGAAACGGTGCTAGAACTAGTTGGGAATGGACCATCATCGATCTTTATCAATTTGGACCTTTTCTTGCGGGGATTTGGATCATAATTCACACCATAGCTTGACGAAGAATGCAAATCCGGAATGTTATGTTGCGCAGGAGAAGAAGGGAACCGAAACCCAGGATCAGAAACAATGTTTTCGTTCATTTTCAGAATAAAAAAGACAGCGGAAGAGACAATGAAGATTTGAAAGAGAAAAAAAAGTGAAAAACTGGTGGATGTCTTGCTTATGTAGGAGTGTTGGCAGTTACTAGATTATGGGACAGGGAAGTTTGAATTGGGCGGTTTTATTCAGTTGGGTGTTGGAAACATGGGGTGGTTACCTTAGCCTTAGCCATTACCGTGGGTTATGCTTCAGTGCATTTACCGAGCAGCGTTGAATGTAACGTGCATACTCTAATATGGCAACCTATAAGCATGCGAATTTTGCCTTGGTAAAAAGTTCAATGATTCATTGCTTCAATGCTATTTACAAAGAGAATAAAAAATATATTTAACAAAATGAAAAGTATGATATGGTTGTCAAATGTTCTATTAACAAAATTAATTGCGCACATTCATTTTGATTAAAAAAATTGAAGGGGAAATTTACATTAATACTAAAGAAATTAGTTCCAATAAAGAACTGATTTGAATTTGTATGAGATGGAATTTAAATATAAAAATCATATTTATATAATTTTTTGTACAAAAAATGTCATAACTTGAGAACATGAGATTGAATTTATATATAGTTTAGGCCTGTTGGAACCGTTTCAAAAGCTATTAAAGATGCTGCTAACAACACATTACTACTGTTGATAGGGTTACGGCTTTCAAAAGGAGTGTTTTTGCGAGTTGAAAATCAAATTTGACTTGAACTCCTTCAAGCTCAATATTCCTATCCTTTTAGGATGCTAATATAGTGTAGCTTTTACCTTTCTTTTGTTGTTCATTCATCATTCTCCTGTCGCTTGTTCCCTCACCCCTTCCACCCTGTTTCATCGTAGCAACAGGGTTTTACCATTTGCAGATTTGCAAGTTTCTTTTCAGAAAATACATGTAAAATGAAATTCTACTCATTACTTGGCAAGCCAGAGCTGACGACACAAACTACAGAAAAATCCCACTAAATTCAGACTACTTCGCTGGCTGAACAATTTAACCCTGAAATTTTTAAATTCAATAGAATTGATTGGAGTAGAACCTTCAGTATACTTAATCCCAAAAATTAAATGGTAAGACGCTAATTTAACAGGACAGACTAGGCTTAATAGCAGTAACTTGAAGGATCATTTCAGCATTATATGACAGTACAGTTTGAATTTGATACTGTCCAGTGTCCAAAGCTTTTTGCCAGGAAAAATACACAGAAGATATTCTGAGTTGAGAACTACAGTACATACCAGATAGCCAGCACACAAATTACTGCAGAACAACTAGGAGGAAGGAAAAACTGCACAAGTGTGCACGTGTGTGCATCCGCTCTCTACAGATATGTTACAACTCACAACACTCACCACCTTGCACTTGATGCCTTTTATTTGTTTAACTGATCTGGTTAAGTGGAGGGTGCTTTAGCCATCTTCATAGTTTTTCCCAAGACGTTTAAAATGGCAACACGCTGCATCTCTTTTGCTGTAACAGGGAAAGAAAAAGATTAGATTGTATCAGATCCCTGCTGTACAAAAATAGTAATAGATGCTAAAGGATCACATAAAACAAAAGATTGCACAATATGAATGCCTGTGTAAATGATGACAGCTAACTAAGATTATGGACCTCAAATCACTTCTGAATTACAACTGCTTTGTCGCCACAAAGATATGATAACAACATATGATATATTGAATCTTGTCAATCACCAACTAATTGCAGGGATGGTATGTTATAAACATAGCATACATTGACATCATAAAAAAATGAATCTGTTTAAGCATATATATATATATGTATATATGTATGTATGTACGTATGGATATACATGCATGCATACAGATAATTGAACCAAATTTGGAGAAGCACCGCTCCCCCACCCCCCCAACCAAAAAAAAAAAAAAAACCCAAACACACACAGGTATGTTACCTTCCTCCAGTGAGAGCTGAATTGATCTTTTTTCCAGCTCAATGGCATGTCTGCTGAGATCAACTGCAGAAAGAGAACGAAGCACTGACAAGATAACATAGATAATATTTGTAAATCAGTATTATAAGAATTTACAATTGAAAAAGTAGAATATACTGTTAGAATGATTCATTGGAACATATTGACATACTCTGGGTATAATCCTCCTGCTCAGATTGGTCCAACTTTTTCAATTGCATCTGCAATTGATAGTACTGCTCTTCCCAGTGAAGTTTTTCAATTTCCTTTGAACTATCCAACAAAGGGGCAGCAGAAACAACTGGATGTTGATTGGAGTCTGATGGTGCTAATCTCATAGCAGACTTTCCAAGAGGTAAAGTTACTGAAGATTTGGCGGATGAACTTGTCATGGAAGCCATTGGAAGTGGTGCAAATGCTGGAAAACAAGAAATGTTTGGCTCCTTTATTTGGGATTTTTGTTGATTACTTTCCTCCAGTTGACCAACTTGCCTCAGGTGTTGGCAATTACTTGTGCTGGTACAGTCAAAAGCACTGCTTTTTCCTAATTCTGGTTCAGATTTTCTACGGACATAGACAAGATGCCCATTTGCAGCACTATTGCTTGGAGATTGGCAGTATGAAGGGCTCACAGGGCATTCTGTGGATGGTCTCTTAGTTCCAGAAACCTTAATAGGATCAATAACAGGTCCTCTATCTTTAGAAAATGGGGAGCTTCCTGGGGAGTTGGGCACGATTCTATTTTCATTCTGCAGGTCTCTCAATGGTGTCTTCTTTGCACCAACTGGAGGTTGCTTATCAAAAGTGCGAGAGTTATTTTCTGGATTCCGCAGTCCATATTCACTGAATTTGGAGTCTGTTGTTTGTTGAACCATCTGATGATGTTTGATTCTGGTAAAGGTAATAAGAAGATCAGGGTCATGATAACAGAATCCAAATTAAAACTAATACTATGGTTCTTAAACTAAAGAAGGAAAACACCTTGTTGGAGATATAATTCTGCAACATGAATGACCAAATAGCTTGAGGGAATCTAATACATATTGCTTTCCATAATTGACCAGTAAGAGCCCAGACCACCAAATAAATTATTCTAGCTTTTGGCTTAAACTGAAAATAACTATTTAAGTGAAATTAAGCACCCAAAGCAGTGATCGGTAACCAATAATAGATCACTCAGGAAAATTGATCAGATCCATAAAAGCAAAACCAAGCGGGCAATGGCATGCAAGGAGCTTGAAACAGAATAGTACCAATTTCGTGAATTGAAATTTTATAATCTTGATCACATGTTGTTTATCACATACCATTTACCTTTTGAACCTTCTCTTCCTGTTTGGTATCATGTATGAGCACAATTATACACAATGGCCATTCAAACATTATGAAATAACAATGAATATGAATGATTTTCACAAGCTAAGGAGTTTTCATGCAAGGAGTTTGACCTTAGGCAGAACATGGCTAAGGGAAGTGAATGATCTACAGTTTAGAATCCCTGACACACGTCGTGATTAGGGATGAATATAGGGGTAACTCAATATCAAGGAAAACAACCTACAGCTTGTAAACTGTAGTTCTCTGTTTTTTATACTTCTTATCTTGTTAACTAAAGTTTCCTAAAAGTACATCTTCTCTAATTAATGTTAATAAATGCCACACTGTTTTCTTTTCACATTACACATATTATTTCTCATTACTGGGGAGAAAATAAAAAGTAAATGATCAAAAGAAAAGGCATACTATACTTAATCTTACCTTGTAGAATGGAATTTGTTTAGCTAACAATAACAAGGTACCATCCTCACCTCTATGCCAAATATGAACTAGTTTTACCCAATTGTGGAAATATAAATTTGCAATCACTTCATCTTAAAAGCTATTTTCAATCACCATAGACAGAAGCTAACTAGGGTTGTAATTTGGATCCAAATTAAAAATGGAACTCATATAATTTGAGAACAACGTTTATACTAAAATACATTTACAAGTGAACCATCACGTTTGAAAGTAATAATTTTTTCAGCTCCAAACAAAGCAAACTGTAGATTTCCGATGAGATCTGTAAAATTTTATGAAATTCATTAAACACTATCAAGGTATACTATGAAACAGTGAATCCAACCTACCCAATACATACATTCCCCGTGTATTTAGGTTTAATTTTCTTTTCACAGCAACAAGAAACAAACTCGGCATTACAAAATGTAACACAATTAGGTTATTTTCAGTCACATTGAACAAAGAATATTTTGCCTCAATAAACAACAGAATTGAAGATTACATCAACTAAAATCATAACTTAACAGAAAAAACAGAAAGAATCAAAAGTAGATACAGACATATGAAGGGTAAAAACTGCATTCTTTCACTTTCCTTTTGAACCCAGCATCCAAAGTGTTTCATTTAACAAAAATTAATCAACTTTTTGGGACAGGGGTTCTGTAAAATGCATTGAAAGAGCAATACCCATTGAATAAAAATGCAAAAATTTGCACAAAAATCGAGATATTTATGCAATGCTATAAAAGTTGATCATATTCAAACACTCAAAATTACCAAACACATAAAAAAAATGGCAACGATTAAGGAAAGTGAATTTCCATATAAATGAGAAATATGAAGAAAATCTTGAATTAAGACAGAGCCATACAAGACATTTACCTTAGCTCATTGAAAACGCAGAGGAAGACAGAAAAAGAAACAGATCGGTTTCGAAAGCAAGGAACTTTGCCTCTGATGAAGTAGTTTAATTTACCGTTTAGTCCATCGTACTTTCTGTTTTTTTTAATTTCGTTTGCGAGTCTTGGGAAAATTCTAACATGACCCCTAATCTTTGGATCATTTAAAGAATTCCTCCAACTTTTTAAAATATGAGATTAATGCAGTTATGCTTTCTCCAAAGATTTCCAAATAAATTAAAGATAAAAAATGATTTCTCATATAATCATATTTACTTAAGTTTGTAAAGAATTAAAGATAACAATTAAACAATTTTACGTTGCTTTATTTTGGCCTTTTCACTTGTTTTTTCTAATATTTGCCAATATTAAAATCAATAAAAAATATAAAATATTATAGTAAAAATTAGAAATGGTAATGAATCGAATCAGATTTTTATTCATCATGAACCCGATTTGATTTTATAATTATAATACCCGAATCCGATTTGACTCAAGAATTTTTTTTATTTTTTTTCATATCAGAACTCGATTCGATCTTATATTTTATAAACTGTATATAACCCAATTCGACTAAAAATTAATAAAATATTATTTTTATATAAATATAAAATTAAATAAATAATTAAAAAATAATATTTTATATATATATCTGATCGGATCGAGTTGGATTTGCTAACCTCAACTTTTTCTCATTATTACTCAATTAGACTCGACTTGAAACTGAATCTAAAAAAAAAAAAAAAGACTCTAAAAGGTCGGGTCGAAAGTCACCAGAGACAAATTGAATTGTCAGTCCTAATAAAAATGAACCAGTTCAACAAATTCAAAACATAAGAAAAAAAAAAAAGAAAATTGCAAATCAGTTCTTTGGTTTAACTTTTTTAAAAAAATAAATTATTAATAAAATTCATCATGTGTTTTTAAATTAATTATCTCATAATTTAAGATTTTGAAAAGCATTTTTATGAAATTACAAACACAAGATAAATTTTATTCATACTTAAGCATTGTATTCATAAAAATTAAAATCAATTAATAAATTAAAAATAATTCAATAAATTCAATATAAAATTAAACTAATCCCACACATATAAATTTGTTTAAGGCCTGGACTATTCACCCACATCTAAAAACCTATTCAAGTTTTAAGAGAATTTAGGTAAAAAATTAAAACTTGTTAAAAGGAGTTAAAATAACATTTAAATCTATTTAAATTTTAAGACAAGATTTAGACAAAAAAATTAAAACTCAAGCTTAATCGGACCGTCCTAATCCGAATAAACTATATATAATTAAAAATATTATAATTATATAAATATATATAATTTTATATTTTTTATATTTTATATTTTATTTTTTAAAAAATAATTTTTTATTATATAAATTAAATTTAATAAATAAATTTTATATTTATCTTTTTTCTCTGTCCATGAACACCTCCACACGGAAAGTAAAACAAGAAGCTTTTAGGTTGAAGGGCCTCCTTTTTTTTCACTAAATCAAAACTTGAATGACATCTCAAGAAGCTTTTTATATAAAAGTTGTAATATAAAAATAATATAAATATAAAAATAAAATTATAAGAGTGGACATTTAAAGCTCAACGACTCAAATAAGCTCTGAATCCAAATATTTTGTAATATTTTGAAGTGACAAGGAAGAGATACCTTTTCGCCGTAGGAGAGGAGTTTGCAAGTTGACATTTCTACAACAGGAGTGGGGTGGGCCGAAAACCAAGTAAATCTGATTGTTTTGCACTTAAATGCATGCCTTAATAGCCCTTTTGCAGTTCATCCACTTCATGGTTCATACACAATGTATGAGTAAAATTTCCAGTAAGATTCCATAGAATCGAAAAGCAACAGAGAAAAAAAAAATATCACAACGCCAGAAGCATCCGCTTAAGTTCTTAAAATTGAAAAAACCATAATCCCAAGTGTATGTACATAAGCAAGATAGTAAGTGCGCGGGCAAAAGATGGAATGAATGAGCCAAATATGTCGAAGCCTATATCAGGAAGTTCTCGGATATACCATCGTGTTTACTTGCTTATTAAACACGCCTGAAAAAGGAATCAGCATGTATGCCCATAATCTGTGGTTTGCCAAGGCACCAGGCCAAATCAACTAATCTTACATGTCTTACATGAGCGTTCTTGGTCAAATTTAAAAGCATAAAATTTTTTTGAGGAATTACTGCCCGGAATTTCCCAGAAGTCTCTCAACCGCAGCATGGACGTTTCCAGCAGTAGCACGTAGTGCTCTGATATTTTCTTGTGTATCGTAAAAACCCATTTCTTGGAGTTGTGATAATTGTGTAGCATACAGTTCTTCTGGGGGAACTGGAAAAAAACAATGAAGATGCCAAAGTGCAGCAAATCTAATTAAAGAAGAGTCTTGATAAAGATGTGAAAAGATACAAGAATGCTAACCATCTGGTTGGTTGGGAACACTCAGGCTACCAGCACCAAGACCACCAAACATATTCATCAACAACTCCAGACCAGCAGTACCAGGTGCTCCTGAAAATGCAATTAAAAATGAAGTGTAGAACATTAAGACCAGATGGAAGAGAAGCTGAAAAGGTGGCAAAGCAAACTAGAGAGTTAAATGTTAGAAACAGCCCTTGACTTCAAGGAAGTACTCTTCATGCCCTTTGTAGAGAAAATTCATAACTACAGTTTGGACTTGTTTTTATTCTGTACCTGTTGTAGCACCGGTCTGCGCTGAATCCCTGTAAGAAAGCTAAATATGGTGAAAAAAACAAAAAAAGCAAAGACAATCATCAAGGCATGAATCATAAAGGCACGTTTAATATCCACACAGCTAAAATTATGCCAGGACCAAATTGCTATATAAAAATAAATAGAGAATTTTATTTTATTTTTTAAATCCCTCAAATGGTCCAATCCAAAACAATAGTAATTTAGAAATAAATATCCAATACAGTTGCAGAGGGTACAAGAAATCTATGTCTGATCACAAAGCCAAACATATTAAGGCCTAGTTTGCCATTTCTGTTGAGATTGGAAAAGGCTTGGGTTGGGAAAAAAAATGCGTTTAAAAGTATGGTGAGAAAAAAATTTGGTTAGAAATTTTAAGTGTTCAATATTGCTATGAAAAAGTGCTATGAGAAATTGATTAGGGATAATAAAATTTTTTTGATTACGGACACTATAGTAATTTTCATTTCCAAACACAAATTTTCACTGCAAAAACACCCTGAGGACTGCTTTTGTGGTGCTGCCTAGAAACCAGGCTTTTTGGCTGAAAAGCCACACCTTTTTTGCCTTTTGGTATTGAGGTGTGATGAAACAGGGCTTTTAGGCAAAAGGCCCTTTCCCACTTCAATACCAAACGGGCCTAATTCAGTTTAGGAAACAATTCTGATATTTGTAACAGCAGCACGTACAAATCTTAGGACAATCTCAAAAGCAAGTGTAGCAAAAGGCAACCAATGGAATAGACAAAGGTACTATCACTTACTGGGTTGATTGCTGTCGGTTGAGCTGAGACAGAAGTGACTGCTGTAAAGTTAGCATTTGCTGCAAGATATAAAAGCAAAAAAAGGGAAACGTGAACATAGGTTACTTTACTTTAAACAGTACTTGAAAATATCAAATAATCTGATATTATCCTTAACATGCTTATAATCAGCTAGGGCAACCTTATATAAAAGAAAGGCAAATACAATACCGTTAAGTCATGTAAGCCTTTAGCATTTATAAGAAGAGAATTCAGAGATGCATATGGCATAGAATATACCTGCATTGTCTCAGGGGAAAACATCTGGCGAACTACTTCTGGGTTTTGCATCATTTCTCTAAATTGAGGGTTGAGATTCATAATCTGAAAAATAAAAACAGATTCTTAACAAAAAGGAAATAAGCAAATGACAATCTTTTGACATGAAGTGATTCTTCAAAGTACCTGATTCATATATTGGGGATTAGACACTATGCTCTGCATCATCTGCGATATAGCAGGGTTCTGCAACAATTGAGTCAATTGAGAGGCATCTGGCATTCCATTCAACATTGGAGGCATATCTGGAAGTCCAAGGCCACCCAGACCACCAATACCTGGTGTCCTAGCATCGCCAGCGGGAGTTGACCTTGCAGTTGTATTGGTCTGGGTCCCCCCTGCAATTTGCAGCACACAGTATTTCATCATGAAAATCTGGGTTTAAAACACATATGCAACAGTAGTAAATTGCATTTAAAGACAACAAAAGATTTAGATATTCTACTTCACTCTATCTTACATTTCATGTTGCAACTGTGGTAAAGCAGTATAGGACACATCGGTTTAACTTACCATACAATTTTTCTTTTCCTAAATATGAAGGAATCCCTCATTTATATTGGAAATGTCAAAAGAAAAGATAAAAATAATTCGTAATAAAGCAACATTAAACATGGACATCAAGCTATGATGAGTCTCAAACAAATCATTCATCCCTGCAACTAAACAAACTTAGTATAAAATCCCATTTTAAACATTTTAGCTATTCTAGTTCAGTCAATATTAGTGTCATGCAGCAACTGTGGTAAAATATTGTAGGACACATTGATTTAGCTTACTGAACAAAAATTTTCTAAATAAGAAAGAATCCCTCATTCATTTGCAAAATGTCAAAACAAAAGATAATAATACAAAATCAAGCAACATTAAAAAAGGAGAACAAGATTCAAGCAAATGAATTACAATCAAATCATTCACCCTACAAAACAAACTCAGTATAATCAAGTCCACATAAATCAAAATTACTTATACCATCAGCTTTCAGGATCATGCTTCTTTCAGCAAACACATAATTTTTTCTTGTCAATCAGTTTTGGATTCTAGTCTACCTTTCTTCTTTACAATAGGAATAGCATGTCCAGAAAATTAAAAAATATGCACATTGGACCAAAGAGTATGGCTAGAGAGAAAAGATGCTTTAATGAAGTATGGAAGGCTGAAACTTACCACCACCACCACCAGTGTTGCTCCAAGGATTAGGAAGAGGATTTGTGTTTGGGGCTGTTTGTCCCTGAGTAGTTTCAGAACCAGTTGTAGAACTGTTATTAGGCAAGTTCCTAGCTTGAGAACCACCTTGATTGCCCAATAGAGCAGCGAATGGGTTTGAACCCGGACTATTTCCATTATTTCCAGCCATAGTCGTAGCATTCAAAAATGGCTCCTGAACATTTTCATACATGCGCCTAAGCATGTTAAATCCCTCGGGAGAGGATTCAATATTACTCATAGCCCTGTCAGTGTTTCGCATCATTTCACGCATGAGTTCAGGGTTCCTTGCAGCTTCTAATGTCTGCCGAAGAATGCTAGGATCATTAAGTATATGCCCAAGCTCTGGATTCCGATCAATAATCTCACGCATTTGGGGATTGCTCATAATCAAACTGCGCATTAACTCTGGATTATTCATCAAACTTTGAATAGCAGGTGTATTCATTATTTCCCTCATCATGTTGGGATTTTGAGTTAGCTGTTGCTGCACTTGTTCAAATTCAGGAAGTCCAGATCCAAATAAGCTAAGACCTCCACTGCCACCAAGTGGATTGAGTCCAGGGAATAAGGATGCTCCCAGACCAGAACCCTCATTAGAACCAACACCCCGGGTGACCCCAGGTGTAGTATTAGGAGTTGCAACATTTGTGCTAGCTGCAGGAGGAGGTGTAGATGAAGATGGGGCAAAACCACGAACCATGTGCACAGTATGATCAGCTTGCAAACCTTCAATAAGGATGAAGATGGTGAAATGGTCAAGTGATTATTATTTATTAAGTATTTGTGCAAAAATCTGGGTGCACATATTACAAAATTACTTCAACCCTCTGACAGAATAGATTTATCGTCTAAAGAAGAAATCTGGGTGCAAGTATTACAAAGTTACTTTAACCCTCCTATGAAATAGATTTATGTTCTAAAGTAAGCATTACATACACAGCATTTACAATTGTATGCCTTAAGGTATCATGATACTGATTAATAAGCTACTGAAAAATGATTACACCATACCATTAAGTTATCAAAATACAGTTGTTTTAACTGATCACAGTAACCAGATTCTGTCTTCAGATTGCCACTTGTATAGATGTTTTGTATAAAGAGGCGAAATATAGCATCCTTATGCTTACTGAACCACCATTATGAATTGATCATTATGACAAAATGGTGGGCAGAAAGGGTTGAAGAGTATGTAAATTGAAGCAAACTGCTTAACTTAAAGAACCAAGGGTTTAGCATGCACGTGCATGGCACAATCTCCATCTGTCACTAGAGTTTATGTCAAATGTTAAATTACTTAATAGTTTTCCAATCTCCAGCAGCTAGGAAGCAAATTCTCTGTAACTCATTAACCAAATAAAACTATATCATCAGTTCTCAAATGACTCTCAAATCAAATATAGTACTAATATCTTCCAATTTCTTTTTCTTCTGAATACATGGATATAGCTATCCAACAAATACATCAGTGATCATGTCACAATCCTCAGTGACTCCTGCTTAGACAATCAAATACAAGATCATCTAAACCAGCTCAAAAGCAGCCCAACAAAATCTACCAAACCACCAAAATCAGCATATTCTCAAAGTATCAACCCAATTCCTTGTACTCTTTTTGAGAAAATCAAGCATTTCCGGATAATTTTCAAAACTTCCTAGCATCCTTTATTTTTAGAAATTTCAATGCTATCAATTATTATTCCATCAAAATAGGAAATACCCAAAAATTGAAACGAACCCAATTTTTTTTCAGAAGGCAAATAAAACTTACCATAACTTTCAAGGGTTTGGTCGTCCTTCAAGATTCGCCCTTTATAAATCAATCGCTGCTGTTCAGCTGGGATATCGCAATTCTGAGCCAAAACAGCTTTGAAAGATCCAACGGTTGATTCAAGGCTGGTCCTGACCGTAAATTTCGTACCGTTGGAGCAGCGTATGTTAACCATCACTCCCTCTTCTTCTCCGCCATTGCCACCCAGTCGTGACTCACTCGAATCGCCTTCCGCACCCATATCCTGCCTCTCTCAGATCGATTAAAAACCCTAACCCTAGAAAATTAGACAAATACGAAAAAAAATTTCCTTTCCCTTTCCTTTTGTATAAGTTTGTATTTCTTTTTTTCTATTCAGGAAATGAAAGTATTTAAAAAAAAAATTGAAATATTAAAGAATTGGGGAAATTTTTACAAAGAATAGTGAAAAAAAAAAAGGATTTTTAGATTTGGAGAAAAATGGGGATTCTAACAGAACAGAGTCTCGTTTGGGTTGTTTGCGAGCTTTTGTCTTGTAAAACAAGAGAGAAAGTAAATAAAAGTGGAAATCCGAATATTCTTTTTTTGTTTTTTCTTTTTCTCCAAACAACTGATCTGTCATGTAATGAATAGTAACTGCCATGTGTCGTAGGGTTTTCTTAATCTTGAAATGGGCTCAGAGCATTTGGCCCTTTTGAGTCTGTCCAGCCGTACATATTTATTGCCCACTTAAATTAGGTCGGCGTCCTTAATTTGGAAATTGTTAAATTAAAAAATATATATTTTCCTTGTATTGCAAATTTCACATTTTATATTTTTCTTGGATCGATCAAAAAAATGTATTCAGCAAAATTTAATAAAAAAATGAAAAAAAAAACAGATAAATGTTTTGACTTTTATTGTACTCATCTCATTGTTCTTAAGGCATCATTTGAAAGAATTTTCTTTTTTCTTTTTTTGCCTCTGCCTAGATTATTTTTCCATTTTTTTTCAATATGATATTTATTTTGCTACCAAATATGTATATTTGCTAGAAATAATCAAGTTTTGGCTCATTATTGAGTTTTGTTCACTTAAAAAAAAAAAAGGGAAACAGAAAAACAACTCCAAATTCTCGGATATATAGATTTGAAGTATGTACTGGCACAAAATTCACAATCTCTAATATGTTGTGAAGCCACAGATGATACAACTGAGATAATGAAGCAAAAGAAAAATAATGTGATTGATTTTGAGTTACGCAGAGACCATAACATTAGTAGGCACAAACTTACAGACAACTTGGAACTGTTTGAGGAAGTTCAAGGAATATGTTCACACTTACTCATATGCTGTAATAGGGAATTAGCTTTTCTTTGAGCTCTGTTTGTTCCAGTTATGGTGATCTCTCTCAGGGGTTCATAAACACCAAACTGAAGTGCAGTTAAAATAAGGGACGAATTGTTTAACCCCAACTCTAGAAGAACTGACACGGCACATTCCTTGTTCTTGGGAGTCCCACTTCTTAGGATTTCTACCAGAGTTTTGATGAATGACAATCGACCAATTTCGTTTCGACCCTCGGGATGTGATGCAACGAGTAACAAGATTGAGAGTGCTTCATCAATCATGCCCAAATTTTTATCCTCGAGTAAATGAAGCAATGGTGGTATGATACCTGCTTTAATGGCTCTAGACTTGTTGGCTTGGTTTAAAGTCAAGTTAAAGAGTGCAGTGGCTGCATCCTTTTTACCTCTGATTGTCCCATTTTGCAAAAGATCTACTAATGGTGGGATTCCATTGAAGTTTCCCACTAAAACTTTGTTCTCATCAAGCATTGATAAGCTAAATAAAGCTGCAGCAGAATTCTCTCGAGCTTCATCAGTTCCATTTCGGAGGATCTCAATGATGGCAGGAATAGCTCCTTCTCTGGCTATAATCCTTTTGTTTGTCTCATCAATTGACAAGTTCAAGAGGGCAGTGACAGTGTGTTCTTGAATCTTGGAGTCACGGTAGGACAATAGCTGAACTAAATGAGGGATTCCTCTGTTGTTTGCAATGAAAATTCTGTTTTCTGGATTCTCTTTTGAGAGCATGCGGATCTTCACAATGGCATCTCTGCGCACTTCTGGCTGACTAGAAGAGAGATTTTGAACCAATGAGGATATTTCTTCCATGAGTTCAGCAGAACAATTATCAGAAGTTGCATAGCTATCCTTCTTAGGCAGTTCAAAATTATTCTTCTCGCACCATTGCAGAATAAGGTTGCGGAGTGCAAAATTTGGTGCTAAAGCCATGTGATCTAAAGTTTGTCCGGTCTTTGGACAGGTTCTATGGTTGGAATTTAACCACTTTTGGATGCTTTCTCTTTCATAAGTCTTAAAAAAAAAAGCAGAAAAAAACCGTCTCAGTTTCGTTAAGCGTGTCAGATTATTCAATACAGTAATGTGAGATTACCTGTCCAGTTGCCACAATAACAGGATCTGCCATGATTTCTAATGTAATTGGGCATAGAAATTCATGAGGTATTAACGAAGATTGACACCTGTGGAGAGTTCCAGTTGAAATCGGACCATCAAGTGAAACAGTTTCATCAATCCCTGCAATTAGTTTGAACTTTCCCAGAAGATCTAAAATTTGCTGTATGGTTTCAGTCTGTCCACCTCTTTGTTTTACCAGTTTTCTGATAGCTGCTGTTTCCGCTTTCAAGTCTGCAATGGTATGTAATTCTAGCTTGTTTGTTAGTCTTTCTAGTATAGCCCTGTCTGCATTCCTGTCATCCTCTTTAGATAACACAACCATCATATCCATTGCTAATTCCATATCTTGTGTATCCGTCCGCCTCTTTGCCCTTTTAAGTTGCATTTGCATCAGCTCAACCTGGAAGCCAATCAATAATATAAGCACCCAACCCAAGTGAAGGAAAAAAAAAACCATGGGAAATCTGGACATTTTCCTGAACATGCCTGTTTTACAAACACGATGCTAAAAAGTACCAAAGAGGCCATGAGTTTTTCAGGACCTCGAGGCGCAAGGAACTGGAATTAGCAATTAGGAACTTTACCAAGAAATTATCAGTTCATTCAAACATAAAAATCTTGATTTCTAAAGCAATTTACGAAACCAGGAACTGCAACAAGCTCCTCTTGACAATAAAAAGAAAGGTGAAACTTTACTTGCTCTTTCACTTCAACTGAAACTCCGAGCTCATCATAAGGCATGTCATCAAGAGCCTGATTTAGTTTGTCATAAACAGCATGAAATCTACACATCACTGCCTCAATTTCCATTGCCTAAATTTGACAGACAAAAAACACAAGATCCTCAATCAGGACAGAAGACAAAAAAAAAAAAAACCAAAAAGCCAACCAAGGAACACGAAATAATTGAACAGCAGGTAACCACGTGATTACCAAATATATCTTGCTTCCATAGTTACAATTCTTCAACAACTTCTTTGCTCCAAGCAGTGCTTTCTTCAAACCAACCAGAGAATTCAAAGCCGAAACCGAAACAACGGATTTATCAAGCTCCCTTATCTCCTCCAAAAGTGGCACCAAAAGCTTCAATCTCCTCACCAAATTCAAACACTCTTTCCTTTGAGTCTTCTTGAATCCAGCATAGGATCCAACAGTCTCTATCACTTCCATCAATTCCCTAACTACCTCACTCTCTTCTCCAACACTCGATGAACTCGAATCCGTCATAATCTGCCTCTTCATTTCTAACGAACAAGCTTAAATCTCAAAAGGGTGGCTAGAAATTAGAAAATCCTTTCACTACCTGGGAAAAAAATCGTGATTTTTGAGGAAAAGAATAAAAAATGGAGGGGTCAGCCGCTAGTGAGTATTAATAAAGAAGGTTGTCATGTTTCTATTGAACATGATTATTTTAATTTTTTTAATTTGGCGGATTTATTAGGGATGATGATTAATAACGGTTACTTCGTGGGGTTTTCTGTTTACTAAAAGTGGAAAATTGCCAACTGAAAAGTTTAGGGGTCTTCCATTAATGCTTCCCTTTTTGGTTTTGTTCATTTTTAGTTTTTTTGAGAATTAAAAATAAAATTATGTTTGGTAAATTATTTTTATTTTTTATCTTTAAAAATTGAAAGTAAAATTTTAAAAAATTTTGAAAATTATTAAAAATAAAAAAATAGTGTTTTCAGATTTGTGGAAACAATTTCGACATTGTTATTACTCGAGCAATATTCATCTGTTCGGTTACAATGCAACTACAATATTTATACATTTCAAAATTTTTGTTTTGAGTCAGATTCGAATTTCTCTTATTTAAAATATAAAAATTGTAATTATTTTTTCTTACATATTTTTATTTTCATATTTTTTAAATAAAAACATTCTATCAAAATATGTTTTAAATTTAATAACTTAAAAATAAAATAAAAATAAAAACAAAATTTTGAAAATATAAAATATAAAATGCAAAACAATACCAAACGATCAGTATTTAGTGAATTATGGTCTACTTTTTTTATCAGAATTTAAATTACCCTGATTTTAAATAAAAAAATAAAAAAAATGAAAGTAAATTTTGAAAAACAGTTATGCGGTTCACGCGGTTTTTTTTTGACAATGTGACGCGTATTCACGTGCAAGTTTTTGGGCATTGTTTGTCTTGCCGATAAGGGACCCACTCTGTGCTTTTGTTTTTCGGTAATGGGACAAGAAAATCTAAGCCATTGAGCCTTTGGGTTTCAACCTGAAATCGAGGATGGATTTTTGATGCAAAAGCAAATTAAGGAACGATGGAAAACCATCATCATCAAACACGTGAGAGACGGAGGTGGTACAAGATTCTTTAATTGGATCAATCTAAATTGACTCAAAACAAACTATTTTATGCTGAAGTGAGTGGCAAGAAAAATCCGAAAACTTGAAATTAGCGAAAATTAATATTTAAGTTAGTAATATTCTAAATTGACTTAAATATGAAATAACCTTGCTTAGCTTGAATTAAGCCTTGTTTAATGAAGGATAATACCTTAATAGACCTTTAAATTATTATAATTTTTTTAATATGGTACTTAAATTAAAAAAATATCTAAATTTTTTTTATGTATTAAATTGTTTCAATCTTTTAATAATGTTGTTTACACTAATATGATAATTAAAAATTGACGTGAATAACAATTTATTATCATCTAATAATGATGTAACAACCACATGTTATTTAAAAAAATAACTTTTTTTTATTTTATTTCAAAATTTATCAATTTTTAAAAAATGATATGTGACAATTATATCTCATATCATATGATAGTCATGTATCATCCACATCAATATTTAAATTTTACATCGATATTATTTAATAATATTAAAGGATTGAAGCAATAAATAAAAATAAAATTTAAGTACTTAATTAAAAAAATGTTTATTTAAGTACCATATTAAAAAAATTATAGTAACTTATGAGCCAAATGAGATATTATCTCTGTAATAAAACATAGAAATAAGGTGAGATATTTTCATTGCACAAAAATTTTAACTGAAAGTTAAATCTTTAGTGCTCAAAAGAGATATTTGGCTATGAACTAGAGTTTTGATGTTGTTTTTTTTTTAATTATATATATTATAATTTAAACTTTAAATTTATTATATATTAATTTTAAGAGAAATTATATAAGTTAAATTGATTAATTTCTGAATTTTAATGTTTCTAATCACATTGTATTGTTTTATTAAATAAATTATTGAAATAGTTCATAATTTAAAGGAATAAAAAGCTATAAATAATATCAAATTTTCATACTATTTAATCTCAAATTCGGTGCATGATACTTGAAGTAATCATAACAACAAAGTGGTGTCTAATTGATAGAAAATAAAAAGTGCTTGACTACGAACGGTAAAAAAGATGATTAGTAGATGTTAAAAAGCAATAGCCACCTCGAAAATATTTTTAAAAATGTGTAAATTTTCTTAAAAGTTAATCATGTAGGGACCTTTCTAATTGCATTATTAAAAGGACAATGATATAAGCTAAAGTGTATGTTAAAGCTAAAGATTAGAGATCTTGTCATAGCAAAAAAGAAGAGGAGCCAACAAAATAAGTTTAGATAAAAGTTAACCATCTATGTTAGTTACCCGAACTCTGGTTACATAACTTGGTATATTTTTCAATTATTTTCACACATTTAAGCTCAAAATTCAATGTTGAATTAGTTGTAGAATACAATATTTTTCTAACTTCTTAATCAAGGAATTTTTATAAAAAATGTAACATTAATCTAATTATTTTTAGGGCTTTATTTTTTGTATCTATTTAATTTTTTTTTATCAAAAGAACTATATGATAATCGTGTTTTAAGATATAAAACATTATTATTTGCAATTTTAACAATGTTTACTTTGTAGATATTATTATTATCTTCCTATAACATAAGTTCGACTTTTAATGAAATATCGTAAAATAAATGTCGAAATAAATTTCTTTTAAAAAATAAAGATAATAGAGTTTTAATGCTTAATATATATATATTTTAAAGTTTTTTTAATCGTTAAATCAAAAAACCGAAAATTAATAATGGCTCTCTTTGTATATTTATGTTATAAAAAAAATTGAATACTAAACAACGAGCTTGCCCAAGACACGAGTGTCCGAAGAGTCGAAGACTACTTGCAAAAGTAACAAAGATGTGGTTGGGTCACCAAAGTCCTAATCAGGGGCTGGCTGGGCTGCCTTGACCTACACTCCGACTCGAAAGCACCAAAGGAAAACGGGGGACGGTCGTGGGGAGCGCAATTCGAAGTCTTCTCCTCTCCACCATTTCCGTTGTTATGGGGGGCCGCTAAAAGTTGGACGTGAAATAAGTAATGTTGCCAGCTCAAGTTGTCTGCTTGCTTTTGTTTCGTACGTCAAAAAAAAAAAAAAAAAAGAATTCGTGACTTAATTTTTTATATAATTATTTTAAAAAATAATATTTAAAAATTTTAAAATCAAATTCTAATATCTATATATATTTTTATTTCATCTCAAGCTATGATTTTCCTTGTAAAAAAAATATGTTGAGAATGCAATTTGATTATACAAATTAAGTTCAGCTTCATATATTAAAAATTTGCCCCATGTTTTCTTCACATTCAACACCATCTTGCCCCATTGCTCAATTTGTGTGGCCTTCTTAGCTGCAAGACACTATACCCAAAAAAAAAAATATGAAAAAAAAAATCTAAATCGTTCAATTTATTTGTAATACAAGACAAGAATCTTAAAATTAGATTCGAGAGAAAGTGAAGATTAAAACTTTTAACCTTGATCCTCGTAAAAAAACTACTAATTATTAGGTCAAATATAAGTCGTTTGATGCACATTTTACTTAATAAATTTATTGATTTGGATAATAATTATACAATAACCATAATGTTTTTACAATATTCAATAAATTTGACTAATAAAAGCATTTTGGATTTAAATAGATGATCATTGACAAATGTTCCATATTTCCAATCATAAACCAATTGCATATTATGTATATTTAACTAAAAAGGTGTTGGACTTTTTTTTTTAACTAACCAAGTTATTTCTAATAAATTTTTGGAAAAAATCTTATAAATAAAAACTATATGGTATCCCTAATATTTGAAAAAAAAAAGAAAAAAATTGACTGCCACGTGGCTAGAATTTTCATAGGCGCTCTTTTAGTGGGGAAGAGCGTAACCACGGCTCCTGGGTTCAATCCCAGCCATACACAGCCGAAAAGGCTCATATTATCGAAAAGGACGAAGACGTGGCATGGATTTTAATCGTCGAATGAACAATCATGACTTTTCCATTTCATTTAGATCCAACGGTCATAGTTTACTAGCCGTTAACTTTCAAATAATAAAAAAAAAATTGCCTCCTGATTCTCTTCCTTTCCTTTTTGTCGTCTCTTTTTCGTAAACAGAGATTGAGAGATAAAAGGCTTGATTGGGGTTTGTCTCGTCCCTTTTTCTTGTTCGAATATCAAATTTAAGGGTTTGTTTAGTTGAAAATCACGATTTACAGTTTAGTTTAACAGATTGTTAAGTGAATGTTTGGCTTCTTTAAGTATTTTGGGCCTGTGTCATAATCAAGTTAGCTTATATCTCTTTGTTTTTCTTCTTTTTATAATTCTTGTAGAAAATGGGTGTCTTTCAATCAATCTGAAGTTTTTTTTATCTTCTTGGTTCTCTTGAAGGATCTGGAAAGTGGGGTTTTGGTCTTGAAGGAAACAAAATAATGAGAAGATCAAAGGAGAACAAACCAGGTCTGATTGCACCACCAAGTGGTCAAGTTAATTCTTAACATAGTCTGACATTTCTTTTATTATGGCTAGTTTGGGGGACCGGCTGTGCAGTTCGCTGTTTGATTTTCATACATTCTTTTCCTTTTTCTTTATCCTTTCTTCTTATTTGAATCTTTTGTAAACTGCAAGATGGGCTGAGAATGAATGGCGTCAAGATGGTAAAGGACATGGGGCGGAATCAAAGAAGGGCTCTGAGTAGCATCAATCAGAACATTACAGGAACTTCCTTCCACCACCTTTGCATGGTTAACAAGAGAGAATTTCCAGGGTACTTTCAACTGTCACAATCTCACATTCCACTATTCATTAGTCTATTTATATTGAAATTGACTTGAGTTTTGTCATACGCAGAAAAGATGCACTTTGCAATAAGAAGTCAGTTCTGGAGCAAAGACCAAATACAAGGTTATATCTAACTTACTCTTTATTTTTACTTCTTTTGTTTTTTCCTTTAACGATCTTATTGATGCTATTGGTCCTTTTTTGGGTGAATTTTGTCTTCAGAAATTGAATTTATATTTCTTTTTGTACGTTTAGGAGTTTGGCTGCAGAAATGATTAGCAACCAGCAACAGTTCCTAGAAGTACTATCTATACTGACCACATATTGGGAAGCTTTATGATTTCTATTCTACTATTTTGTTAAGTAACTTTAAAATTCATATAGAAACCAAAACATTAGAAAACTAAATAGAAATTGTTGGACTGAATGTGTTGTAGGACAATAAGAACAACCAAACTAAGTTGACGATAAAGCCTGGTGGCCTGGAGGATTGCGTGATCATTGATGTGGAAGAGTTTGGGGATGATATTGATGTTATGTCCCCTATGTTTGTGAAGCACACAGAAGCAGTGCTAGATGAAACTGATGGGATGGCATCGGTATGTGCTTTTATAGCAATATCTACATTTTCTCTACTGCAGAAAGGGTCTTTTCTACTGATGGGAAATATATATATATATATATATTTCTTGGCAAAGCAGCATGATTACATCACTTTTCTATTGAATAAATATAGGAGTTTGAAATGGAAGATGCAGAGGAGTCTATTATTGATATTGACAGCAGCGATTCCAAAGATCCGCTTGCACTTGTTGAGTATGTAGATGACATCTATGCTTATTACAGAGAAACTGAGGTAAGTTTCGATTAGTTGTTCAAAATATGGTTTTTATACACTTTTCTCTAACTTGTTAAATTGTTATATGCTTTGAAAGGTCCTAATGTAAAGGGAACGGAGTTTTGAATGCATTATTAACTATAAATTTTACCAATGAGACAATTTATGGCATGCTAGGTGGAGTAACATTCCATGGAATTGTTGGTCATTGATTTTTGAGTTACTTATCAAGGGTCACTTGTGCAGGTTTCATCCTGTGTCTCTCCAAATTACATGGACAAGCAATTTGACATCAATGAGAAGATGAGGGCCATCCACATTGATTGGCTTATTGAGGTATGATTCTAACCTTAGTTGTTCTTCTCTGAGGGCAGTTGGGGAGGCACTATCAAGAACATACTTGCCTGATAATAATTTAAATTTTGTATTTCCTACAATATTTCTAACCTTGGAAACATGCATTATTGTTTCAAGAATTTCTTAGTTGTTGTTGTTCATATTCGATTACTAATACCTTGACTTTATCAATAGGTTCACTACAAATTTGAGCTTATGGATGAAACATTGTTCCTTACCATCAATCTCATAGACAGATTCTTAGAGCGTTGCACTGTGATCCGAAAGAAGCTTCAATTGGTTGGCATGACAGCCATGTTATTAGCATGCAAGTATGAGGAGGTTTCAGTCCCATTAGTGGAGGATTTTGTTCTGATTTCAGATAAGGCTTATACGAGGAAGGATGTTCTAGATATGGTAATTTCCTACTATAGTTCTCAGTGCCTGCTTTCTTTGTTTTCCTTCTATTTCTCTAGATATATTTAATAGTTTTTCTGTGTTTCTAGGAGAAATTAATGGTGAACACTTTACAATTCAACTTGTCTGTGCCAACTCCATACGTTTTCATGAGGAGATTTCTCAAGGCAGCACAATCCGAGAAAAAGGTAAATTAAATTAAAGGCTTTCATTAAATCAATAAGTTTTTTAAGGCTTTTGTCATTTGATCCTCACAAATTATACTGATGAGATATATTTTACCCCTGTACCATACTAGCTGGAATTTCTCTCCTTCTTCCTCATTGAGCTGTGCCTTGTTCAATATGAAATGCTCAAGTTCCAACCATCTCTGCTAGCTGCTGCAGCAATATACACAGCACAGTGCAGTCTTTGCCGGATCAAAAGTTGGACTAAGACCAGCGAATGGCATACAAAATACTCAGAAGATCAGCTGCTGTAAGTTCGTCTGATATTTGGATTGATAGGCCTAGATTTATGACCTTGGTGTAAATATTATTACTAATGAAGGATGCTTGTTATATATGCCAATAGGGAATGCTCAAAATTGATGGTTACTTACCATCAGAAGGCTGGATCAGGAAAACTCACGGGAGTGTACAGAAAATATACTTCATACAAATTCGTGTATGCGGCAAAAACTGAACCAGCACAATTTCTCCTAGATCTTTGACACAACACAACTTCTAGACGGTTGACTATTTGTCAAGTAATCTAAAGTTAGGAATTGTCAGTTGCAACATTGAGCAACCTAGAAACAGAAAACTAAAAGTCTATTTCAGTGGTGAGGTTCTTTTATATTGTCCATGCTTAGTTTTCTTGTTATTTGGTCTTGTATATTGGTCTTGTATTTTTTAAATAAGGAGAATACTAATGTTACGCAGTCTGGTTTTGAATAAAATCACGACCGTTACACTTATTCCTTCATATTTAATAAGTTACTTATTAGGCATGAAATCAATCATATATCATAAGGAGTAAATTTCTCGGATAATCACTAAACTTATTGAACTTCAAAGAGAAGGATTATTTGAGTTAAAAGTTAAAACACCAAAACCCTTTCATAGAATAACTGAAAACAATGGAGTTTTAGAGTCCTACATATCTTGAAACTTGCATCTGTTCTACTACTGACAAAGCTCTAAACTAGGCCGTTAAAGTCTTCACCACATAACGAAATGCTTTTGGGCTCTAGTTCCTATTTATCTGTTGAAACAATAAAGTATTAGTAAAGGTTTTTGTCAAAAAAAAAAAAAAAGAAGAAGAAGAAGATCATATATGTTACCTATAGAATTGGTGTGAACCAATATCTTTGAGAACGCAAAGGAAGGCTGACACTAGGAAATGAGCGTTCAATTCTTCCATTTTGTAGGTAATATACAACACCATCACGAGACAAGATGGGGCAAGGATCTTTTCTACAATAGTCATAGTCTTGAGCAAGGTAAATGCAATTTCCTTGAACCCCTGTAAAATCTTTGACTGAAAGTGATAATGAACCTCCACGAGCTATAAACAACACTCGGTCATCTACGCTAGACAACCTATGTCATCAACATCCATCTTGAACACTCGAAAGCTAACTACTTGTTTGGTTGTATTATAATGGAATGCCGTCATCTTCATCCATCCTTAACAAATTTATCATAGAATCTTTCTATTAACAGTAGTTCGTTACTAGTTGATTCTACTAAATATACATCAGATGAACAGTTTGACAATATCTCAAAATCATCTGCCACAAGCCCAATATATAGATTGACGTCAAGAACTTCGCTATTCAATGGGCTAAATTTTACAACCACTTTGCACTCTGCTAATTCTAAGTTGTAATATTCAACGTGGTCCACTGTATTTATCACATGCAGCGTTTTATTCTGAGTAAAGAGGTGTCAATAAATAAAAAAAAAAATTTCTTCAATTTTACCACTAAAAATGTATCACTGCATGTTTCCTGGCCTGCAGATTGCCAAAACAATTGGAGTTTGATTAGACCATGAGTCAAAAACTCCAGCAAGTATGCATTCTGAAACATTTGCTGAGGATAGTTCGATCCTTGTGATGAAGCATGAGACATTGTGTTTCTCTCTCAAAAGTTGTAACCTTTTGAAGGAATTGACGATAACATGGAATTGTAAGTAGGGAAGGTAGTTCGTGTACCTCCCTGGAAATAGGATTAAACAGAAAGATTTCTGATTCAGATGTTGGTGAAAAAGAAAGAACTTGGCCAAGTGAAGGGATTCAAATTGCATATAACAAGCAAATGTTCATGCAATATATATGACAAAAACCATTGGTGAAAATGCATATAGTAGCACATGGTTAGTCCCTCCGAAAAAATGAGCATGAGAACTAGTTTTCTGCAATACTTTGCAGATGTTACTTGCACGATATATGGCTACATGGCCAGTGGCCACAGGACATAAAACTAGTACAATATTATCATTAGAAGGCTACACAGGCACATCTAGCTAGTTTATTCTATAACTAAATAATATATGCAGCAAAATTTATCAAATTAAAAGAGTATAAAAACAAAAATAGTCATCCATAAGAGTAAGAGAGACACAGAAATTGCATTGTCACCCTTGTATATGAACTAAATCAATTAGCATCTCAAAAATCTAATTTTACAATCCGAATGATTACAATCCCCTCCAATACAATCAATCTACATTGCAATTAGCCAAAAGAAAAGGAATTTACTAGCCTGTACCCAAGAGAAGATCCTTTCAGCAGCCAACAAAATTGATTCCCTTAGAAACCTAAAAATCCGATTGAGCCCTATACCAGACAGGCCCATGTGAACTGAAAAAGATTTTTGTAATTGTCAAAAAGAAAAGAATTTATTCGAAGCCTGCACTAAAGAGTAGATCTTTTCAGCAGCCAACAAAAATCGAATCCCTTATGAACCCAAAAATCTGATTGAGCCCTATACCAGAGAGGCCCATGTGAACTGAAAAAAGTTCAATCTACATTATAATTGGCAAAAAGAAAGGAATTTACTCGTAGCCTATACCCAAACCCAAGAGTAGATCCCTTCACCAGCTAGCAAAATCGATTCTCTTAGGAACCCAAAAATCCGATTGAGTCTCAGGCCAGAGAGAGCCATGTGAACTGCAAAAGGTTCTTGAACAGTTGTGAACAATTACCTCTCTCAAATGGGTTCAAAGAAGAATTGATAAAAGAAAGGTACGGTATATACTGTATTTGGATTGTGGGCAATGAGGGTGGAGAAAAATTGATAGTTAGCAAAAGATATGGCTGGAACTTTACTAATGAACGAGAAAAAACTAAAGCAGAAGGGAGACAGCCCATGTGGAAGAACGATGAAAACCCATCACTAAGTGCTGAAAGAAAAGAAAACAAACCCAAACACAAAGACACATCGCATTTCCAAATCCAAAGACCATCACATGTGGGGAAAGAAAAGAGAGAAGGAAAGGATGAGGAAATACAGGATTATCATGAGAAGAGCCCTAGGCCAGAGAGGCTCGTATGAACAGAAAAAGGTTCTTGAAAGTCGTGTAACAAATACAGCTCTCTCAAATGGGTTGACAAGAGAGAAAATCCACAAGAAAAATTATGGGTTGACAAAAGACATGGATGCATGGATCTTGACAAATGGAAGAGGAAGAACCAAAGCAAAAGAGAGAAGACACAGTGGGAAAACACATGCGGAAGAACGATGAAAACCGACACACACAAACCCAAAGCTTAAGACCATTAATGGAGAAACAAAAGAGGGAAGAAAAGGAGGACCAAATACAGTATTACCAGGAGAATGAAAAGCAAGAAAATCATCAGGGTACATGTCGGTTTTTTGTGGGGACGACGAGGACGACGGGGGTCATCCTCCTCTGCTCTTCTCCTCTTAAGGCGTAGTACTTCAGCCCTTCTCGAGCCAAAACCTTGGTGGCTAGTAACCCGGCCTCCTTTTCTTTTTGTTTCCGTCATTGTTTGAGGAGAAGAGAGGGTGGTTTTCATCATTGTTTGAGGAGAAGATAGGGTGGTTGATGAGGAAAGAATTCTTGACAGATATCTTGGAAACGCAGAGAGGCAGAGAGAAGTCTGTTCTTTGTTGTTAAGAATTCAGTTATAAAGAGGTGCAACAAGGTACCAGTTATATACGTGATATTTTTTTTCTTCCAGCTCAAGAATTTTTTTCTTCAGGATAATTTTTACCATTAGTAAGGACTGAGACGTATACTCTTTTACTTTCAGTAATTATTGGAACTTATAACAAAGATATCAAAAAGCGGAAGTTATTAATCCAAGATCAAGAAAATTTAGAATCTCTGACTATCTCTGTTCTCCTGTTGAACTAGTTTAAGACCTTTTATATATCACAAAGCTAAGTAATGGCACACGCTCAAAAAAGGACCTTTCACAGGATCATTTTCTAATAAATGTTTTAAAGATTTTACAAGTGTCATATATCAATGTCTACTGCCGAGGAAAGTTCAAGACACCAACTGAATTACATATCATGCGTAAACAACAATGACTACCAAGTCAGGAAGCAGCCAAGGAGTTCATATTAAAAGATGAACTATAACAAAGAAAAAAATTACAAATTCACATACCATCGAAACAACCTGCGTACAGCAATTTTCCACAATAAGTTCATTATACTAGATACTTGGATATTTAGTTGCCACTTCCCGGCAAGACTCCAAAAACAACTCATCAGCCAGTTTCATAATGTTGGCCTTATGATCAGCTGTAACCTTCTTTCGATTGTTTAGATAAGCATATTCAAATGCATACTTTGCAATCCGCTCTGAACAAAACTTTGTTATCACCTACACCAAAGAACAGCCAAATTACCCAATAAGAAAATCTTCAATTTTTCACAAAAAAAAAGCAATTCAGTTATACTTAGTTACTTGCCTTAACGCTCTCAACAACGCCAGGAACGACCTCGTGTTCGAGACCCGAGTATTCCTCTTCAGTGTTCTCCATGATTAGTACGATATCCACCTTTTCATTTCTGGTTGGCAATCCTGTGGCACCCGTTTCATGTCGCCGTGAACTTCGTACTTCTCGAAGTAAACTGGGGCGTCCATTGCTTCCATCACTTGTTCCACCACGTTCGTCACTGATGGTTCGATTCCATCACCTGGGATTAGGATTACGGGTCTTGGAGCTCGGTCTTCTGGCCAGGGCATGTACGTCACGTCTCGGGTTTGGGTCTTTTGGGCTATGAGGGTGCTCCGAAGAGGGATGGATCTGCGTGACGTGGACATTTTGGGGGTGAAAATGTATGAAGATTTCGGAGTTGTTGGCAGTCAAACTATGGTTTTAAAGTTTGATAGAAAAGGAAAAGGGTTGCAGAAAAGGCCGTTGACATGAAGCGGGAAGGTAAAAGAAGAGAAAATGATCATATTGCAAAGTACCCCCTTAATTTTAAGGATTTTATATTTTTGACTCTTAATTTGTGGACCGACTGGTCACTCGTTTATTGATGACAAATAATTTACAGAAGAGCTTACAATATGGTTTTTCATTTCCCGCTTTTAGTGTAACACTTCTTGATTGCATTGTAGTGTTTTGGTATAATACCTAAATAAACTCTAAAACTTCACTTTCAAATGCAAATAAGCCCTTAATCTTTTATTGTACCAAACTAAGATTATGAACTTTTATTTTATTGTAATTAGAATCTTGATGATATAAAATATGCAATTTTTTGTTTAAAATTTTTTAATTGGATGATTTAATTTATAAAAAATACATTTTTAAATTCATTTAGATGAGTTAAATGATAAATATTTAAAAAAATACTATTTTAAAAATTCTATCAATTTGATATTATTCATATAAATTTATGATTTAATGAGTATAAATACAATAAAATAAAAGTTTAGTCTTAATTTCATAACAAAAGATCGAGGGTCTCTTGAAGTAAGATTCGAGGTTTATTTGAGTATTAAGCCTAACATTTGTGTTAAATTACAAACAACCGTTTTTTTTTTTTTAATATTAAAAATTTAATTTCAAGTAAAAAAAAATTGGACCCATGTACCAGGACAGAGGGAGGGGTTATTGAGAAACAGTAAAATGGAGTTTGAAGGGAGAAAGATACAAAGAATGCAGTAACAGGAAATGGGAATCTATGTTTGAGAGTAAAAAATTTTCTGACATTTTCCAAGAATACAATTGCGAACTACAAATGAATCTGAATAACACTAATATATTGATATCTGATGAAATTACGGGGTAAAAAGAGATCCAGTTGAAACTTTTTTAGTACAGCCAAGTAGGAGAAAGAAAGGTGATATAGAAAAAAAATAGAGGGCATCGATTGACGCCAACCCCAACTTCAGAAACTTATCCGAATAGAGGAAAAGGATGCTATTAATTGTCAAAATACCTAGTCACCGTAATGGAACAAAAATATATGTTCTTCTGAATAGTCAAAGGTTCAAGTCTTGATTAAAACCAGCATGTTCAAGAAAAAAGTGCGTGGCTCAACTAAGTGCATCGCCGCCCAGGTAACCAGCTTCACAGCTTCACATCTGTATTTACTTGGTCACATGGTATCTCCAAATTGGATCATGCTGCCTCCTTCAGCACTGGACCAGCGAATAGCAGGCTCTGCAAATTTATCCAAAAGCTGCATTAATGGGTTGCTGAAGAAGTAGCAACAGAACTGCCCAATCCCATCTTCTGCCCCAGTATTGTGAGTTGCTCAACAAACTCCATTCCGGTTAAAATTTCTGTTGTTCCATATATAACATGCTTGACAGGCTGCTGACGTTGTGCAAGGTCTTGCAAGCTGCCATACTCCACGTAATTTCCACCACCGATCATAAAAACAATAGCTTCTTTAAAGGGTCCTTTCAGATGGTTGCCACTAGTGCCAGAGCTCGACTTAGGGGCACGGGGATCAAACACAAGGTAAGAATCAATTTCAGGGTTTGGCTTCCCCTCCATCAAAGCTTCCACAGTCCTTGTCAGTGCCAGCTGCCTATCACTAGATAATAGGTTCTTCACACCTGCTGTGACAGCACTAATGGACTGGCCATAGAGCTTCTCAGCCCAATCAACAATGTTATTTCTACTAGCAGAATTTGCTGATGCCAATGAAACATTCAATGACTTGATCTTCTTCACATACTGAAATGCACTTGTATCAACCTCAGATTCTCTTAGTGCTGCTTCCACTGCTTCTGCTTCTGATGGGTTAATGGTTTCTGAAGAGATAATATACATTATAGCAAAACGCAGCTTATCTATCTTGGTACCTTTTCCCTTAAGTACACTCAGTAACTCATTTCGATCAATGCCACCTCTGACCATCATGTCATTCTCCTTCTTTACATAAGAGTCAAGAGATCTCTCCTTTATTTCACCCAAGAGCACTGTTGCAATGTTTGTGTGTTTATCAATAACCTGCTTCCGTTCTGTCAGCTCAGGCAAGGAGTTCACTGCGTTCATTAAGTGTTTTGTGTTCCCAATCAAGTCTGTCCCGTCAAACTCAGCTCCTGCAGTCCCACCAGTCCTTCTATTCACCTCATCAACATCCTTCTTATATTTGTTCAATTGGGTCTCGATCTCAACAGCAACTTCAGGGAATTCCAATGATCCATTTGACATCCAAAATGGATCTGAGCTATCCAACTCATATGATTTCATTCCACCTTTCTCTCCTGGAACACTCAACCTATTAAGCCTCAACCCAAGAATATCATGTACAAGCGGGCGGTACCTAAAATCATGTTGTATCCCAACTGATAACTCGAAAGTACGATCAAAGATGCACAAAATTGGACGCTGAAATGAGCTTACAAAACCCCCACCTTCAGAAAACAAATTGTTCTTTGACAACAAATGATCCCTCAACTTCTGATCCAATGCTGAAGCAACCATCTCTGCTGGTCCACCACGCGGGCATCTTATTATAGGCACCACTGCAAGTGTAGCCAAAACACCAAATAATCCACTAACAACCGTCTCTATAATATCCTCAATCTCTTTATCCCCAGCAGATGGATCATTCAATTGCACATAAGTAGATTTATGGGACAAAGAGAATAAATTATCCTCTAATGTCACAAACTCCAAATACTGATCATGAACCTTTGAAATCCTATGGATTGAATCCGAATTCAAGGTCCCAGAAGCAAGATCCTCCAAAAGTGGCCTTGGTATAGATGAAGAGAAATTCAGATGGAAACTATCATAGAGAGAACGTGAGGCATCAGCTACAATTCTCTGGATATTGGAATGATCTGGCTGAACAAAATACACAGCCGGCACATCATGAACAGGTTTTCGATCCTTGTCAATAAGGAAATACAGGGTCACACCGTGTTTTCGCAGATCCTTAACATGGATCAATGGGGACAGTATGTTTTGACAAAATTTGTCATAAATCAAGATCTTGTAAACATCTTCATTAGCAGTTCCAGCAGGATTCACTGGTTGGTTCAGATTCAGCATCCGGATTATACATTCTGTAAACCCAACAAAACGATAAAGACCAAATCACCCACTAAGATCAAAATGACAGATCAAATTCAACAACCCAGTAAAGAAAAACCTAGACAAAACTAGATCCAAATAAAATTTAACAAAACAAATGGTGGGTTTGCGCTAGATTTTATCGATTTCGATTCAAAGAATAATAGATCAAATTTAACAAAATTTTAACAGGGTCAAAACGAGAGACATAAAAGCTTGTTCCAATTGCATCTACGTTAAAATCTACACGGGATATGAGATGCGTTTTGGTAATTTGAGGGGAAACGAAGGAGAGAGATCGAAAGAGAGAATTTACCTGTTTGTTTTTGGCGAAGATTGAGAGCCATAGGAGACTGGAAAACTGAGCTCTTTGAACAATAAGACTTTCAAACTTTAAGACTCAAAATTAGTTGCTTTGGGTTTTTCGTGGGTAATAAGAAGCCTTTGGGAGAGGTCTCTTCTCTGTTTTTCTTTATAGCCATTTTGAGGCAGTGAAAATGAAATTCATCTATCAAACTATCGATGGTTCAAGGCGTAAATGTTGAAAAAAGAACAAAAAAATGACCCTGGTAAACGATGTGTAGATTCCTCTGCGGTGAGTTTATTGTAGTATTCTACTGTTGAGAACTGAGATCTTGCCGCGTGGCGAGGAGATTTTTTGAGATGTGTTTGGTTGTCCACTAAAACTAAAGATGTGGTCAAAATAATTCGAGAAAATTACGTTAATAAAAAGGGGGGAAAATCACATTTTTAAAACTTTTAGATGGGTCTGACATATGATGATGGGAAGATATTTTTTGTTATATATATATATATATATATGATTATATTTATATATAATGTATAAATTTTTTGGCCCAATAAATACATTATTTTTATCAAATATTTATAGTGGTCTCATACTAATTTCTGTTTGGTTTTATTATTAATTAATGGAAATTTTAAGGAAAATATTAAAAGAAAAAAAGGTCAAGGAAAAGTGTAATAGAAACTCGTGTCTCTCCAAACGCGACCTTAAAATGATTTTCATTTTAGCAGAGGATACAGTTGCAACTGGCAAGCGCACAACAAGAAAGAAAACTGAAAGAAAGTGAGAAACAGCAGCAGAGATGGCAACGTCGTCGTTTTTGCGTAACAGATACTGGGTCCTCAGGCATGGCAAAAGCATCCCAAACGAGAAAGGCCTTATTGTTTCTTCATTGGTCAGTCAATCCCTTCACTTTTTTTTTTTTTTTAACATTATCTGTCTTTTAAGGCTTTTTTATAATTCTTTATTGCCTGCCTTTTTTTCCTGTTTTGTTTAAAGTAATGCTTATCTCATCTGGGTCTGTCCAGAAAAATGTAAAAAAGTGAAGGGAGCACTATGATGCGTTCAGGTCATAGTTTGTGAGATACCAAGTGATGCTGAGCTTCATTTTAGCCATAATTTCTTATTCATAGCGTTTGCAAAACCATAAAATTTATGTGTCACTCTAGATTGTATTTGTATCCATTTGCCAACTCTCAATTTTGCTACTTGGCGTTGGTTATTAACCAATGGTTAGAATCCCATCAGGAAAATGGCACTCGTCTTGAATATGGGTTAGCATCTGAAGGTGTTGAGCAAGCTCAGTTGGCTGGAAAGTTATTCCTAAAGGTATCTGCTTCTCATATAAATTTCCCTTTTTTTTTTTTTTTAAGCATCCCATGCCAGAGAACAAATTTACACTGCTGATTGAAGGTTTCTGGGACTGACAATCACATAGCTGGCCTGTGATTGCTTTAACAGAATTTAGGCACGAGGCACTAAGTAATGAAACTAAACAAGTTTCTTGACTGAAACTAGTTCTAATCAGGAGTTGAGGCTCTCATTTGTTCCCTATTTTTTTAACCTAGCCATTTCATTTGTTTACTGTCTTTCGTGTCGCCTTTTATCATAAAAACAGGCTGCTTTACTCACAGATGGATTGCATACCAAGTGCAGGAATTGAAGGAAAACAACACACCACTTGAAAATGTGCGTATTTGTTACTCACCATTTGCGAGGACAAGTCATACAGCAGAGGTTGTTGCATCCGTTTTGAATCTTCCATTTGAGGGTCCTCAATGCAAGGTGAGCTATTTCACCATCTCATAGACTCACATATTGAATTAGAAAAGAAGGTTAGGAGAGGGAGGGATCAATTATAATCATCATTTATATTGAATGACATTTTCCTTTCTACTTTTCTTCTCACTGATATTTAATAAATGCTATTGGCTGGCGGCATAGGTTATAGAAGATCTTCGAGAACGTTACTTTGGTCCTTCATTTGAACTTCTGTCACATGAGAAAGTAAGTGATACTTACTGGGCTCAATTTATACTTTACCAAGCATAATGTTGCACCTGAAGGATTCTGAGGTCTACTGTATAACACAACAGTTATTGGGTTATTGAGTTTATATGTAGGACCCTTAAAGCAACTGCCAGATTGTATAAACAATAAAGCATTGTTGCTTATTCTACCCTATGTGGTTGTTGACACTTGAGTCTTTCCTAACTTTTCTTGTACATTATAAACAGTATACAGAAATATGGGCTATGGATGAAAAAGATCCATTCACAAGGCCAGAAGGTGGAGAAAGTGTTGATGATGTAGCTTCTAGACTTGCAAGTGCTATGGCAACTATGGAATCAGAATACCATGGGTAAATTATTTAATTTTTGTTTTTCCACAAAGAAAATGTTTAACTGACATCTCGAATTATGAGATGTCCTCTGTTTCTATGGTAGGTTAGGTTCCAGCTAATAGATTTAAAACACTAACAGTTTTGGTGAGTATGGAATAAGTCATTGTATGCAGAGGCATGGAGTCCTTTATGATTGGAATCCTAAAAGTCCTAAGAGTTCTTAAGACTAATGAACAAGAATTAGTTTACTCCCACTAAAAGTAGAAATTTGCTCTAGTTTTATGACACCAAAAACATCATTTATTATCACATTGGTTGTTCCAATGTGCTGTGTAAATAATAAGGTATGCAATATCATAATCATGATAACATGCTGATACTGAGCTGATCCCCTATTGTGACACTAGTTTAAGTAATTATTCTTTCTTTTGGAGAAGCAGATGTGTGATCTTGGTTGTCAGCCATGGTGATCCCTTGCAAATCTTGCAAACCATAATCAATGCAGTTTCAGAACAGATGGAACCAAGTTGCAGTGACCTAGTGTCGAGAATTCAAGCAGTTAGAACCCCTTCTATTTTATCACAGCATCGAAAGTTTGCACTGCTGACTGGAGAACTGAGGGCAGTTCTATAATCCGCTGCTGCCCCTTTGTCGTAAAAACTTGGCGTGCATTTCATGACTGGAGACATTGATATGATCTATCTTTTATTACATAAGATAGCTATGTTTATCATGTTTCAATTATGCTCAGTCATTCCAGCTATGGTTACTTTGAAGAATTGTTTTAAAGCGAGAGAGATTCATTGATCACAAGTGGTCAAATAACTTTGATTTATTGAAAGGCGAAATGCTTCATAGCTACGCTTTATTTATCATGTGTGTTTGCTCGTAAATTTTTCATGCAAGAGCCATGAATTGCGAGCTCCTGATGAGGATTTTTATATGGAAGGCCAACATTTACCATTTACCATTTTCCCTTTTTTTTTAAAAAAAAAAAAATCTATGAATAGAAGATGAGAATGATAGGGCTTGTTAGGTTTTTTTAATCACTGGGTCAAGAAGCTATAAGAACGAAGTCACTGCAGTACTGTTCAAATTGTTTGATTCAGCACAAAATCACATCTTACATGAGAGACATAGGGAGAATGCATTCAAACGTGGAGCATATATTAATAGCAAGAATACAAACGGCTGTTATATGTTAAAAACTTTCTGGGCAATGATTTCCAGGCATCAGTCAGACTCCATGTGGACGTCTCTCAAAAAAATGAGCAAAAATGACCCAATCATGCAAAACCATTCTTAGTTCATTGAATGCAATGACCAAGCCCTCAATAAACTCTATACAACACGCCATCTATTAGAGAACATATCCACGGGTCCCCCGCATAAACCACCACCACGTTTTTGAGAAAATATTGACAGCAGGAGATTTGAAAGACATCTCCAGTTGCCACATGCAAAATAATGCTCTTCAGCATGTCAACCAAGCTAGCTGCCACAACCTAAGAATAGAAGACGTCTCTCTGAAGCACTCACACCAGCGTGTCTCGTCTTCTGTTCACATAACCACAATTATTCTTCTAAGCTTTAATCCTTTGTAACCCATCTACGGCCCCTAATCTGATAGCCACCATAACTCTGATCACTGCTGCTCTCTCCTCCACTTTCTGCACTGGTATATCCTGATTTTCTACTATGTTTCTTTCCCCTCGCAACACCACTATCGCTAATGCTTCCATTTAAGAGAGGATCATCTATACCACGAATTATCCTCCGTGCGGATGTGGCAATGCAACTGTCATCCTTTGTCTTTCTCCTGTCTTTGTCGTGCTTCTTTATGTTTTGAGAGATCTTATGCAGTTTCTCATTGAACTTGGTAATCCCCTTCTCAACAGGCTCAACTGCTTGGTTTACTGTAAATTTTACATCGTTTACAATCTGCAAAAGAAAAGAGCAGATTCAGCAATAGTATGTTAAAATAATAAAGAAAAGAATCTGGTAATCTGGTCTTTGAAGGATTTGACTTTATAGGCACTTAAAGGTAAAAAAGATTTTATGCTCTTTGAAAAAGCCCCCACCAAACATAGTGGGACAATATGCGTCATACTTTCAGGTTTTTTATTCTATTGTGGACGCTAATTAGCAACTTAATGAATTCCAATCCACCTGAAGAGATGCTACTGTGGAGAACCAACAACAACGCGTTCACCCTTAAGGTGATTACAGCATGTTATTATTATTTTATCACTAATTGATAACCACTAATCTCCACATACACAGTATAATCTAAAATTAAACTATTAGCATAAACTGAACACTTACATATTCACCACCACCAATAAATACATCCTTCACACTTTCTTTTATGGTCATTCCACTTCGAGCCTCTACGTCAGGCAGAGGTAGGCGTAGCTTTGTGGGTCGCTCACTATCCCTAACCTCATCAGGATCCAGAGGGCAATCTACAGATGCATAGTCTCCAAGTACTGAAACACTTCCAGGAATGCGGTCTCCCATTAGCTCATAAGGTTTGGAAGGGAAAACATATAGGTGAACAACAGAAGCAATGCCCATCTGTGCTGGAGGAATACCATGACATGTCAAACTTTCATATTAGAAAAAGACTTGTAGCATTTACAAGCTTTTTGGATTTAGATGACTGACAAGGGTAATGTTACAGTTTACATACTCGTGGTTAAATCTTTTGCTTATTTATTATATAGCTGCATACCTATAGTAAATAGGAGTACAACCTAGAAGAAATACATTGGTGATTGAAGACATCTACCTCTATACAAATGATGAAGTCTTGGACACTTGACTTCAACTGCAAGCCTTCAGCAAATGGACTTCTGAATAGACCAAGAGCATAAATAAGGGCAATTGCCACACCTTGCCACCAAGTTAAAAACACAATTGATTTAAAAGTCAAAAACTTGGCCAATGGCTTTATGTGTGCCAGTTCATCCTTTGTGACAGTATAAAATTGAACTAAACAGTATAAAGCCCATGATTGACTGAAATTGAGAACCACCGCCATGTAAGGATACCTGCAAAATCAGGAAAAAATGCCAAGATAATGAGAAATATCTTAGGAGGGGCCATTCACAAAATTATATTTCACTAATGAATCACCACTTTAAATTCAAGAACAGCATAACAGAATATTTTAACCAAAAACTTATGCTCACAAGTGAAATGACATCATAAATTCAGATTTTAGGTGGCTTGTTCCTTAGAAGGTGAAGCACTAAAAGAGGCAAAAATATGAATAACAATCATTCAAAATTACTTTCTTCTACCCAGAAAAATCTTTCCACTACTAACTCACACAAAATCTTCAGCATCAAAAGCAACATTATACATTAAGATCATCTTACCCACAGCCCCATTTGAATTCTCCTTCACAATATACACCAAAAGCTTCAAGAATTACTGCTAAAAGGGCAGTCAATAACTTGATTATCATCTGCCAACAAAGCATACAACATTGTTAAAAAGGGAAACCAACAAGAGAAGAAAAAATAGTACTTCATCTTCTTTAAGCTAAACAGCACTTACATATTGGACAATGCCGAACTTGACAACTTGGTAAAACCATTGACCAAGTTTCCATGGTCTTAGGATATAATTCATAGGAAAAGGGTGCTTAACAGTTCCCTTTTCACAATCAAGTCCCAATAATGGAGTTTTAGAACTTGCACGCCCTAGCCTTTCCATGAATTCTATAGTCCTTTCTTCCCCACCTTAAAAGCAGAAATTGAAAGAAAGATTCCAATAAAGAATAGAAATTTTCTCAACATCAGCCACAAATATAAATAGCAGCTCAACTCTGAAAAATGAAGACCATTATACATATAAGGGAGAAGAAAAATACAAAGTGAAAATTTTAACAAATAGCCTGCATTGTCAAAGCACAAAAACTAGAGCAGTACTTTGACACTTATGCTGTATGATGGACCTTTGAAATCTCCATAAACCATAAATGCATATGTCATGCACAAGCTTTAATTTCGGGAAATTTTGACAGAAATTATTGTTATAAATTTAGGTCCATAATGTCAAATACATGAAAAAAAATAGCATGTGTAAGTCAGTTTGACAGAAGTACAGAACTGTCCAATCTTCTTTCCTACCTCTTTAATGAAATATTTACAATGCCCTTTTCTTTGTGTATGTGCATGTCAATGTGATTTATTTGATATGCATGTCATCACAAGCTCAATGAATGACATTCTTAGCACCAAACGACTTTAATTTAAAACCAGCCATTGGCTAGTAATTCGAAACAGCCTACAGCCACCATGTAGAATGTGCAGCATTCAGCCTGCGGCATTTGTCATCAAACATAAAGGTAAGGACTGCAAATAATCACAACCTGGACCTTGCTTGAGTAAAACCAACAGAGTAGTACATATTTTCTTTTTTAACTAGAATGAATTAGGAGCATTATGAGTGAGCACGGTATGTTAGACATCAGAAGAATCTATACATTCTTACACAGTAAGAAATGAAAGAATAAAGTGTTGAAATGTCTGTTCAAAGACATTGAAAACAATACCAGGGCGTTCAAAATTCGGATTCAAGGGTAATAGCAAATAACAAGACAGAACTGGAATTCCAATGATATAACATGCAAGGGTGGTGATCCAGAATTAAGAAATAAAATGTTTATTTACACTTCAACACTCTATAAATGGACATACCCAAGCAAGCAACAAGGTATCTTCCAAAGCAATACATGGCAAATGATTCATAGCAATCTCGTAGTATCGAACAATCAACACTAATTGAGGGATCCACCAACGAAACAAACTGTCAAAAACAATCTGGGTTAGCAAGACAGAAAATAACATATCATTGCACCAGATGCATGATGCAAAAAAAAAAAAAAATCATGTTGAAGTACTGTGCCAAAACTATACCTAAAATTCTTAAAGTTTCATAGACTCAAAGCACACCAAACTTAAAATTTTAACCTAAGATGAATATATTTCAAATTTCATACCAACACATTACTTAAATTAAGTAAAGAAATCAACTAACTACACCTTTCAATGCAAGCATGTAAGCAACATCTGATTACACTGTTCAAGATTCATGCCAATTTTTTTACATAAATTTTCTTAAGGTATATTCAGCAATCTCAAACACAAAAAATTTTACTTCAAATTTTCAAAAAGTCAGGCATGATATTTCAATTCCAGGAGTCTAACTACGGAAATTTCCCACCGCAAGAATCTCCAGAAGCAATAATTTTCCAGCATTGGTTACAAAAGATTTATGCCAGTGATTTTACTCTGATGTGCATTCCATAATACCAGAAGACCAACTTTCACCATGCAGTCCAGAAATTTGAGCAATAACAGACCGCGACTTCAAGCATTTTTTAATTTATCTGATCTCAAGACACAATTTAATGCTGTAACAGACAAGACCAACACTTATTTTCATCAAACAACTCAAAAATTAATGCAAAACACTAGGATTTTCATGATCTGAATTACATAAAACATCTAACTAAGAAAATAAGTCAAAATCTGATAAAAAAAACTAACCGATTCTACAGAATAGCAAGGAACCATAAGAATAACTCCGATCAAAAACTTTTGCTCCTGCCAGTCCAAAAACAAAAAAACGAAGTCAAGCAAAGCAATATCGAATAAGCAAAAAAAAAAAAAAGCCTAAAATCTCTAACGAAACAAAAGCTTACCTCAGGATTCTTGTACGAAGAGAGGTGTTCGAAGATAAGATACATTGAAAGAGAAAGTGTTACGACTAAAAGCACTCCAGCTATCAAAGTCGCCCAAATAGGAGGCGAATAACCCAACAGATAATCTGTAATCTTCATCGGCTTCTACACTTTATTTTACTTTGATGATAAATAGCATACCTGACTTTCCACTTCAAAAAAAAATCAACGGACGATCATTGCTAATTTTTAAATTCCAAAATCGAGGGTTTTAATTGAACAGAAACGGGAAATTTGAAAACCCTAGAAAAAGCTTGATCGATTGAATATGGGAGGTAAAAGCCAAAAAGTAAGTCGTGTCTCGTGACTCAGAATGAGAGATGAAGCTCAGGCAGGGGTGCTGCACGTGAATCTGTTTTTTCCGTTATTGGTTAGATTACGTTAATGCCCCTTTAAAGTTTTGTGAATTTCGACTTTGCCTCTGGCTGTCTAACAGGGCTGTGTACCTAGAATCCGGATCTTCCTAGTGGCATATTTTTCTACATATTTTACCAGTTGGTTAATTTTGTTTTTTTTTTTCACTTTTTACACGCGTTTTGTTGGCTAAACAAAAAAAAAAAAAAAAAACAACTGGAATCATGGAATAGTAAAAATTGAAAAGGTAATTCTAGGTTGATTTACATAATTTGATCTAACCATGCCATCATTTTTTTCACTTCACTGCTGATAAAAGAGGGCCTTTCTTTTAACTTTTGAGTTAAATTTAGATGGAGTTTTTAACTACTGTTTTCATGAATTTTTAAGCTTAGTTAATATATTTTTATTATAATAAAATATTTTTTATGTATATATAAGATTTTATATTTATGCACAGTAATTTTATATGTTATTAGAAGATATCAATTCATTAATAAAAAATTTTATTAATTTTAAGAAAATTATAAAAAATCTTAATTTTTTAAAAAAGAATTTTCACTGATGAATTAATATAATCTATTTTACTAATAGTATATAAAATTTATACATTAACAATCTACCAACTTTAAACTTTAAATGTAACACTAGACAAAGATATTTATCATTTTTAATTTATTGTGCGAAAATATTATTATATTTATCATTTTGCAATATCTTGCAACTTTATTTTATGTTGAATAATATTTTTATTTAATATATTAAGGTCATATTTGGTATATAAAATTATGATAAGATAAAATAAGATAATATTATAAATTTGATTAAATAAAATAATATAATCATTTTTTTTATATATGCAAGGATAAGAATAAAATAGTTTATTTATTTGTCAAAATTATCATTTTTTAATATTTATACGATTTAAATTATTGATATAATTTTTAAAGTTATAATTAGACATGTAAGTTTAATCATATGAATTAAAAATAATTCTCTCCACTTGAGATGATTAAATAATCTTATGTTAAAATGATATTAATCTTCATTGCAATCGTTATTCCTCTCTTTAGATACAAATCGAATATAATATATGATAATTAGTATTCTATCCTATTAATAATTATATGAATCAAACATGACCTAAAAATTATCAAATTAACCGTCAACTATCGCATCTAATATAGATATATTATTATAAATATTATATTAATTAAGTTTTTAAAAATGTACTAAAAAAATGTTATACAATAAGATGGTTATAGACATCGATTAAGGATTATCTAATTATTATTTTAGGAATTTTTTATTTAAATTCATTATTTTTACTAAATTCAAGAAAAACTAATGCATTAATTGGACTTTACCTTTTTTCTAAATATCTTCTTAGCCAGTGTCACAAACAATTAGTTTTAAGAAAAAGAAAAGGATTTAACATGCATTAAATGAAATTTAACACAATGTTCATACCTGGCATTCATTTGCCATTTTAAGAAAAGGGTAAGATTCCCCCAACTAGATTAAACATTTGGCATAATCAAATTTAATAAAAAGCATACAATTCTTCTTATTTTAGGAAATAAAATCCACGCACTTCTAGGTTGATCTCAATATCAACCAGATTACCTAAATTTGATGAACACCTTGCTTAAATTCATTCCTATATATGTATAGGCCCTCAGCTCATGGTATTAACATCTTATATCCAGCAATTCTCCATTAACATCTTTGTTTTAATTGGGGATTGAGAGATTGGCAAGTACGGTTGGTTCAATGCTCTGCAAATTATTGTCCTCTCACTCGCGTACTCTTCCTGGAAAGTGCTTCCATGGTTTATAGTGACAGAGTCTCCATTGTTTATGGTTCTTTGAAATATACTTGGAAAGAAACCTTTCAACGTTGCTACAAACTTGCATGTGCCCTAAACCAATTGAAAGTTTCCCATGGCGATATTGTAAAGCTCTAATGCTTTCAACTTTTAAGTTGTTGTTTAGTTTTTCTTTTTATAACATTTGAAAATTTTTGTGATCAGGTTGCAGCATTGGGTCCAAACACACAGGAGTTATACGAGCTTCACTTTGCTGTTCCCATGGCAGGAGCAATTGTTTCTCCACTGAACATCTGCCAAGAATCACCACATTAGCTGTACAATTGAAACTGTTAGAAGCTAAAGTCATATTTGTTGATCATCAATTTCTCAACCTTGCCCTTCAAGCCTTTGAGATCCTCACCAAAACATGCACCGATTACAAGTTTCCTCTAGTTGTATTAATGCTAGAGACTGATCCTGTTGCCAAAATTGCCTCCAATAATCATCAGCTTTCGGGTCATCATACTTATGATTCTCTTCTTAATCTCACAAATGGTTCTGATGACTTCGATATTGTGAGGCCAAAAGGTGAATGTGATCCAATTTCCATTGTATTTACTTCAGGGACTACAGGAGAGCCAAAAGGAGTTGTTCACGGTCACAGAGGAGCGTATTTGACAACTCTCGCTGAAATTATTCTGAATGAACTGAAAGCCATGCCTGTTTATTTATGAACGGTCCCTATGTTTCACTGCAATGGATGGTGCTTTACTTGGGCTATTGCTGCTCCTGGTGGCACCAATATTTGCCTCAGGACATATGATGCCAAAATTATCTTTGCCAACATTATCAGGTACAATGTAACAATCTTGGTTGTGTAACCCCGGTCCTGAGTTTAATTGCCAATGCAAATCAGAACCCACTTCCATTCAAGGTAGATATAATGACGTGAGGTGCACCACCTCCACCTCCACCTCATGTCGTGCTCAAGGTGGAACACTTATGGAATGTCAGAGTTACTAGGACCTGGAACTGTTTATCCATGGAGGCTCGAATATTGCTCCTTATCGCCTGAGGAACAAGCAAAAATGAAATCTCTTCATGGCTTGAATCATGTCTTGATGGAGGGTGTCGATGTAAAAGACCCAATGACAATGGAAAGCGTGCCCTTTGATGGGTTGACAATGGGGGAGGTGCTGTTTAGAGGCAAGACCGTTACGAAAGGGTATTATAAAAACCCAGACAAAACTGAAGCAGCATTGAAAGGAGGATGGTTTCATACTGGTGATATTGCTGTGAGGCATCCTGATGGGAACATTGAGGTGAAAGATCGAAAACTTGATCTCATTATTTCCGGGCATAAGAAAATATCTGTGGATGTTGAAGCCGTGCTGTTTAGCCATCCAGCAGTTTTTGAGGCAGGAGTGGTAGGGCGTCCGAATGAGGTTGTAGGGGAGACAGTTTGTGCTTTTGTGATGCTTAAGCAAGGATGCAATGCGAGCCCTGAGAAGATTATTAAGTTCTGTGGAGAAAGCTGCCCGAACATATGGTGCCAAAAACTGTGGTTTTTGATCATCTGCCAATCACTTCAACTGGGAAGACAAAGAAGGCTGTTCTAAGGGAGAGAGCTCGGTCCCTTATCTAAAGAATGTCATGTCAAGGTCGTTGGGTCATGGGTGCATGCTTGAATAAAACAAGTTGATTTCTGTCGACAAAGATGAATAAAATGAAAAGTTATGTTAAGTTTTAAGTCTTCATTCTCTATGTTTCAGGTTGCTTTTGCCTGTTTAAGTTATAGTGTTTGATACATTTCCCAAACCAGCATATGTCGGTGAGTTAATATTTCCTGCACATGCAATGTATAAATGTTATATACAATCAATCCTTAACTATTTATATATGCATGTGAATTGCACAGACATATTTGATCGATTAGGCTTAAATTTTAGGAAGAAAACAAGCCCATTCAGCCCAAAATACCCCACCATTTTCAGCGGGCCAACTGGTCTGGGTAGGACCAACAATCTTCACTCAAAAAACATAACTTTGAGACCAAGAAGCCCGAAATCATGTTTACCTACTGAAGAATTTACTTGGTTCAAGCGTTCATAGGCCCGCGGAGCGGTTTGAGATCTAATTAAAGGTCTAATAGATCAAATTTAAATCGATTTAATATTAAATTTAAAATTTAAAATTTGATTTAAATTTGATTTAATTTTATTTTTTAATTTTAATTTGATTCAAGATAAAAAGTAAATTATTTAAATTTGTTTAATTAAGTTCGATTAATACGTAAAAATAAGTTCGATTCTTATACTGTACAAAAACTAAATTATTTGTGCTCAATTTTAAGTTCAAAATATTTTATTAATTAAAAATAATAAAAATTCATTAACATATAAAAATTTGATTAGGCTAACAAGCAATTCGAATCATATATAAAAATATTTAAATTTGACTTGATCGATAAATAAAGTTATTCGAGTTCAAACTCGACTCAATAACAATTAAATTAAATTTAAAATTTATTTAAATAGAATATGAGTAATTTATAATTACTAATATATTATTTATACTTTTAATTTTTATGGTAAACTCTGAATAAATATTATCATGTAGATTCATTTTACTTTAATTAATTAGTAATTACTCTAGTTTTGACCTTTAGATATGGCTCAAATGGTCATGTCCTGACCTCATAGATAGTGTGTGTGGGGTGTGGGGAGTTAACGCACTACTTATGCTAGTTGTTTGACCTTTGAGTTTCGATCCCTATTTTATAGATAAGCACTGGGCAGTGGGAGTTTTTTTTCCAGAAACGTTGGTTTGGGACGTTGGCTGCATTTTAAGCAGCCTCTGGCAGATGGATAAGGATTAAACGATGAACGTGATTAAGAGTCCATTTTGTCAAGATTATCAGATGCCACCATTTTCATTTACTCTCCTGCACTCTTCACCATTTTCCATACGTAGCAGGTCCAGAGAGCTGACGCCATGCAACCTTGCTTTCTCTTATTATTTCGTCTGCTTCATTGTATGTTTCTTTATATATAGTATTTGTTTAATGGCATTAAAAGATTGGTTCACTTCCCTGTAACTCTAAATCAAGTTCGGCAATTGCCATCATTTGCCCCCATTCTGTTCCTTTCCTTTTCCATGGAGGTTTTTTTTTTTTTTCATATTTTATATAGGGTATGAACATGTACGTATACCTTATATACCACCAGCAGTATGATTTGTTAATATAATATAAAATATTAATTTTAATGATGAAAGTTAATTTTTGTCAATCTTAAACATAAAAAAAATTCAATCATTAATGAATTATACATCTCATGTCATCTAGGGAGTTGAGTTGAATTACTCACCGTCTAAAGAAAGAGAGGAAGTTATGTTTTCGAGAAGGGAATGAGAGACGGAAGTAGTTCAATTAATAATTTGAATTATATAGCATGCTATCCCATTTTTCAGGGAGTTACTGAATTTTTTTACATATTTAAAAAAATATTTATATCATTACATTGTTAGTATATAAATTTTATACATTATTAATGATAGTTCATCAATAAATAAATATTCATTTTTAAAATAAATGTATGTAAATTAAAATAACTTACTAATTAATGACGTATTATTATTTGATTTATCTTATTAATGAATTATTATTATCTAATTTATTGATAATATATAAAATTGATACACTAATAATATATCAAATATAAACTTTTTAAAAAGATTACATCGCAGATTATGGCCAACAATGGAAGGAACCAACCGAGCAAAACGAAATTAATCATTTATAAATTATTTCATGGATTAGTATATTATTAGAGTTGATAATTAGAGATTGTGAGTTTGAAAGAGTTTAGAGGCATAATATATTTTTTAATTAGATATATGATAGGATAAAAAAATTTAAAATAAATTAGAAACATAAAAAAAAAAAGAAATCATAATATCATTTTGAATATAATCTTATAAAAAAATCAAAATTATACCATTACTGAAATATCACTACAGCAAAATGGCGTATTAGCTGCAATTTTGTAGCGGCCTTTCATTTACAAACGCCGTTACCTTCTTTGTTTTTATAAAACTTCAGGCGTTTATTATCCAAACGTCACTAAATATTCAAATAACGGCGTTGTTACTTATTAACGCCACCCAAGACTTAATATTAAAGGCGTTTCTCAACTAAAACGCCTTGAATATTTTTTATTAAAAATTTTAGTGAATAGTTAAGGCGTATTTTTAGCAGACAATTCCTTCAATTATCATGTCATAAAAAATTGTATGAGATTAGTGAATGCGTTGTCTACAAGAAATGTCTTTAATATTTGGACCAAAAAATTTTACAGGCTTATTGAATTTATTTTGTTCAAAATACATTAAATATTAAGCTTATCAAATTGTTTGGATCGTGCGGATGTTTACCATAAGGTTGTTGGTTCGATCTGTCCTTTAGCCTTTTTCTGGGTTTTTACACAGATTATTTGTTATTGATTATTCTAGGCATTTTCTTGGCAAAAACACTTTCACCAATTATTTTAAAAAATTTTTCATAGAATATTGAAGGCGTTTTTCGTGGAGAGACGCTTTTAATAATCTATAGAAAAAATATAAAGTCGATTCTTGAAGGCGTTTTTGGTCGAATTCGCATTCTATAATCCAATCAGTAAATTTTTTTTGTGATTTTTAAATGCGATTTTGTAAAAAACGCATTTAATATTTTATAGACAAAACTTAGATGGGATGCTTGAAGATATTTTTGGCTCAAAACGTCTTTAATATTTTCAGCTATAAACTTTAATGGTCGAATTATTGAAAGCGGCTATATCCAAAAATGCCTTCATAATCATTTTGTTAAGGATTATTGAAGGTGTTACCTGTAGGAAAATGCTCTTCATAATCCATTTGATTAATTTTTAGTTAGTATTATTGAATGAGTTTTTTACCCAAAATGCCTTTAATATTTCACATAATAATTTTTTGGGAGGATTATTGAAGAAGATTTTGGTAAAAAAACATCTTCAATGTTTTCTATTAGGGGTGATTGAAGGTGTTTTCTTGCTAAAAATGCATTCATTAATCGCATCAAAAAAATATATTTGATACTGTATATGTGAAGTCAATTGTAGGTTTATACCTAGAAAAACGTTTGCTATCAGTTGTATATTTATGCCCAAAAAATGCCTGTTTTATATATCTGATACTATGAATTACATTTTAGAATTTACATAATGAAAATTGTTGTATTTCAATAAATTGACCACATATCCGAAATTAAAACTGATAACGTTGCCATATTAATATACTTTTCTGAAATAATCGTACTCAGTAATTTATTAAATACACATAATGTATTCATATTAAGTATAACAATAATATTAAACAAATACCTCCAATATACAAACTTAAAGTTTCCATTCAACATGGCATGTTAAAAACATTATAACAATTTGTTCCATATATATTTACATTCAACCAACAATGTCTAACCTGAAGGTTTATCAACATTAATAAACGATAATACATAATCACACCATTCTTTATAGATTTCATCCAGCTCTTCTTTCGTGAAGCTTTCTTTACCCTTTCACTAAAAAAAAATCAAAAATAAATGTTAAGAAATGAGAACATAATGTACCATTTTATTTTTTTGAATATATAACGAGTTTATGAAATTTATACTAACCTTGAATGGTGTGATCATAAAATCATGTAACATTATCTCTCATATAAAATGAAGGACATAATATCAACATTCAATATTATCGGGTTGACGAGGTACCTGAAAATTAAATTAAGTCGATTTAAAAAATATTTATCTACACAAATTCAGCATTAAAAGAATATATTTCACATTTACTGGTAATGACACCTATTTCAGTTTTTTTTTCTTATTGAATGTAGATATTACCCTAAATTGAAAAGAAAAAAAATTAGTGGGAACATAAATAAAATTACTTATGAAGAAATAGAACATATATAATATAATAAAATACTTTAATATCTCTTTATAAAAGTTTGAATATCGAGGTTAGGCATCGTCATTAGATTAACTGAATTAAGAAGATATGACGTTAAGGATTTGGTGTCAATCACAATAAGCATCCAATGATGACTGTAAAATAATAATAATGATATACTCAGAATACGCATCAGATCATAAAATGAAACATGTTGGAGTAATTAAGGTTGGAATATAACTTACTGCGCATTATACATGAGCAAATAATAATCAGCCAATCTTTTCATGCATAGGATCACATGATTAGCACGATACATGAACGTGTCACTCTACTCACTAATGAAGTTGGGGTCAATGAATCTAAATCTGTTCGTCAATTGTCTCCCCTTCAGCTCTTTATATAAGAAGTTACACGATAACAATCAATACTACTGGTTAGTATTACACCTTAATACTAACGTACTATATATTGAATTTGCATATTTGTATTTATAAGCTAACCTCATATAAGCAACGATTTCAACAGCTGATAATTCATCCATTTCACAAAATTCTTTCACCTCTTCCACACTAATGAAAAAAAATAATTGTTTATCAAATAAGTCTTTCTCAGACTCAATGGATATGAAGTTTTTGTCAGATAAATGCTCTAGTGAATATTTTGTTAACTCATCCATGAAGCCTGGACAAGGGTTATACTTTGAGTATGAACATCCTCCTACAATATTTAATGAAATATAAGTATTAAAATCAAATCAATCAATATAATAAACAAATTAATATTCATATTATAAACAATATCATATTTTTTGGGTCGTAG